GTAATATCAGGTATCCGTAATTTCGGACGATAAGCCTCTAAAAGTTATCGTCCGTAATTTCTAAATGTTTTTGAAAGAATTGTCCCATTATTCTATCCCCCTCCCTCTTCATTTTAGTTCAAGGATTGAAATCTGCCTTTAGGACTTGCAATTTAAGTATAACACCAAATAAGACGACTGTTCATTATCCACTCGTCTGTATTCTAGGAACAAAGTTCTTTTACAGGAAATTATTCATATGGATAAAGTGGGGTTTAGGTAAAAATCTTAACTAATGCAAGGATGCAAAATTTTGAGCTCGGCTTTTCTCAGAAGATTCTAGATAGAAGATTACAAAAAGAGAACTCCGAGAAGAGTTCAACTATGCTGCTTTATGCCCAAAAGACGTTCACGTTTAATGTTTTCCATTTTACAGATGAGTAGATAATGACCAGCCTTCGATAAGTTGCAAAAAATTTCAAAATCGAGCCACCAGAATCGTCACAGACAGTCCCTATGTAACGTCGGCTTTACCTTTGATTAAGAATCTTGGCTGGCTCACTATAAAAGAACTGATTGATTTTGAAGCCAGCAAGACGGTCTATGACTTTTGAACACTCTTGCCTCTGATTAGTTGAGAAACCTCTTTCAAAGTGTATCTGAAACTATAGACTGTCAGTTGAGGAACTTGACACCTGGTCTTAGATTACTTTTACTGAAAACAGCTTCTGGTCAGAAATCATTTGCTTATAGAGGGGCTAAGGTCTGGAATGACCTGGATAGTGGTGTCAAAGCATCATCATCCTTCTGCCCATTTCAAAGGGAAAATAAAACCCAAATAATAAGCAACTAAGACTCAGCTCGTTTTTCTTATCTTTATTTTATCTATAATCGTCGTGAACAAGATTACTTTATACTTAGTTGTTAGTAGATTTTATTTTGCATGGCTCCTTGTAAAGCAGTATGTTATAATAATGAGTGAATTACCATGGATAAAAAGGTTAAAATGAAATAAAAAGTGAAATTTTTCTGCAACCACATTCATGCTCCCTTAACACAAGCAAATAATTTTAATTTACAAATCTTCAAAGTAAACCAAAGCTACATTTGATTCAAATTGTGGATATTGATGATTGATACTAAACATTTTACTGGTAAAAAAGTAATCATCTTCAGTTTTATCTACAAAAAAAAGTGACGACGATTTAAACCTCTAATAAAGATGTTTGTCCTTTCCCGTCCCAATCCTTGCCAAATAAAGCTAAGTTGTTTAGGGGTTTTCTGAAGAATTAAATTCTGGTACAAAGACCGACAATGCACCTTCTCTACCAATTAAATGTTAGTTGTAGATATAAATATTATTGCTACCTGAATAGAAATCCATTCGATCACGCAGAACCCCCTTTTTTAGAATAAAGCAACAATTTTTGGAGAGAAAAAGAAGTGTGCAAAATAGAACATTAAAAAAGTTACTTCTAGTGTGACAAGACTCTTGGCAGACTTAATTTACTGTTTGACTTTGCAAAGAATTTTTTCTGGCAAAAAATGTAAAAATGGCTTTGACAAAAGTAAACATTTTGAAACATATCATCTAAGAGTGTCAAACAAAAAGCTTTAGTATACAGTGATAAATTGATATACGAATGTCTTGAAAGCATTCATTCAACCCAGAGCAATTATCCTTTATTATTGCAGATACCGTTCGTGGTCACAGAAAAACTGATAAATTTTTTTAAGGATCTTGAATTAATAGTTAATTTAAATGTATTAATGAATGTTACTTGGAAAGGATTTGCAGGAAAACAAGAACAATAGTATTCAAAGACTGTTAGTCTGTAGCAAACTGATCCCTTAATATTATACAAAATGTTAATATTTTAATAAACAACCGCGAAAGTCTCCTTTCTCGGCAAAAAACAAATCCCACTTATCTCCAATCGCAGCAGAGAAGAAAAAGAACGACTTCAATTGGTTTAGTGGAAAACCTTGTCATAATATTGAAATCTTTTTCTAGAAAACCTTAGCCAAAAATCAATATAAAAAATCCTAAAGCCTCAAAACTGATGTCGAAATAGCGATTGGGTGAATGAGTGGGGCTATTAACCATCGCAAAAGATAACGTGTCCAATGAACAATATGTAGTTCTTTCATGAAAGGATGCTTCAACTATCGTAAAAGTTTTCTGGTAAACCTTTCGTAAATGTTTGTTCTGAAAAATTATATGAATATTTATTAATCTACTCATATATCTCTGTATAAAAGATAAAGTAGAGGAGAGAGAGAGAGAGAGAGAGAGAGAGAGAGAGAGCGAGAGAGAGAGAGAGAGAGAGAGAGAGAGAGAGAGAGAGAGAGAGAGAGAGAGAGAGAGCTCCAGATATTTGCTAGTAGTCGTGTTAAGCAGAAATGCGATGTGAAACAGAATTGCATAATTAATATTTTGCTTTACAGGACAAACACTCGCTTTTTCAAGCGATTTCATATCTTGATGTACTTTTCTAGATTTAAATTTTGTATTATATTGCAAACATTAGCAATAACCATTCACTGGGTGTTTTCAGGTTTCAAGCAGAAATAACATTTGTTCTAAAGAAGAGTTATGTTTGAGACATGGTTTTAAAAATAGGTTATCTACAGTACTAGCACAGCAGTGTTTCATAGGTAGCTTTGCTCCTTAATTAGCAAAGTATATTTGTATTTTTGCATTCTTATTTGCTACCTAGCGTCAGGTTTTTTAGGACAGCGAGAAGCTGTGCAAATCAAGCAGTGGCCTGGTCCTTCCTCTCGATGTGACCACATCTCGTGATTCTTACGCCTGAAATTGAAATGTCAGGAGCTTGAACCACAGATTCTTGGACCTGTAGTCAACGACCCCAACTACTGAGCCATCCTCGCACTTATAAGGCGAAATATAAACCGTAAATCGGTCCCCACTCAAAAAAGCCCCCTCGAATAGGCCCCCACCATAGAACTACAAATTGTCAATAAGTCCCCCTCGAATAAGCCCCCACTGCTACCGTAAATCCTCGAATTTGCCCCCTCAATTTTTTTTATTATTGTTATCTGAGGTTGCCTTTGGTAATTTATTGAATTACTATGAAAACTCATACTTTTGGTAATAATTAATTAAACGTTAATAAAGAATTCCTACTAAAATATACTAGGTTTTTAAATAATGTCTTCTTAATGCCCACAATAATTTTATAAGCCCCCCTCGAATAAGCCCCCATCCAAAAATATCAAAAATAAATAAGCCTCTTGGGGATGGGGCTAATTCGAGGATTCGTGATAGTTCTTAAATGTGACGTCACAAAAAAATTATTTTTAGAATTATTTTAATTTTGACCACATAACATAAATAGAAAAAGCCATGAAATACTAAATATGTAAAAGTAAGCAAAATATGCAAAAATCGGTTAAGATATGGTCAAAAACGATTTGATGCTTGCTAGCGGATTACTGTTAATTTGCTTCTGTTTATAAAGTCATAAACAGAGACCAATTACAATGATTTCATGGGGAACGCGCCTGGTCTCAAGTCGCCTAATGGCACCAAACTTTTTACACCTTCAACTGGTTTTGCATATTTAGAGGCAGGCACGCTGGAGCCAGGGAGCTGGGTGGGCTGCAGCCCCCCTCACTTTATCGCCAAAAACGATATCAAAGATTATGGCGGCAAACAACGTAAGGAGCCCCCCCCACTTTACTAGAACCCCCACCCTTAAGTGTGCCCCGGCGACTCTATGAGGTATTTCATAATTCTCTTTCATGTTATGAGATCCAAATTCAAAATTTCAGAAAACAAATTTTTGTGAAGTCATCAGTTAAAAACTCTATTATGAAAATTGTACATTGATTGCATTGTATTGTAATATTATACACTTTCTCATTGACTGGGGCATAAAGTATAGGCATCAAGTATTTATATATTTTTAGGTGTAAGGCCTTAGAACTGACAATGACTATTTCAGGGTTGTAAGTGTAATCAGGAGATGAAGAAAGACCACAAAGTGCGGAAAGTCGGTTCAATTCAAGAGAACTAGAGAAGGATAAGGAGGAAGGAGCTGGAAAAGAAAAGTTTAGAGAACGTGTTTAGGACAATTAACATTCAGCACAGTGTTAATAACCTTAAAAAACAATGATACAGGATTGAATCCTCGTCAGAAATATATTGCACCAGAACAACAAAAATTAGCCTTGAGCATCTGAAAATGTGTTCGTGAATTTTTAGTCAATTTTTTGCCTTTTTTCAATGACTACAAAGTAAAGATCAAGGACGCAGCCTCTGTTCATTTATGATAAAGAAAATGTTCCGTCGTCGAGGAAAGCTCGACGATAATTCCTCTCAAGAAATTAAAAACCAAGGCTTCGATCCTTTGCAGCTTACCGAGTTGCTCTCTTTGCCAACTGCATAATTAAAAAGTGTCCGTAAATTGATTAGGTGCTACACGAAATGAGCAAAGGGGTGACTTTTGGCCCAATCATCTAAAATGTTTCTTTTCGATCTGCTTTAAAAAACATCAAAAACCAAGCTCACAACAAGGGTTGCCGAAAGTTGGTGGTGATGAAAATTGGCCAAAGACCTTTAGGTTTAGGGCGCTCTCAAGGTTTCCAGTTTATGAAAGAGATTAGTAAGACATGACAAAATTGTGCAACTTTTTAACGATTGCAAGGTGAATGCAAAGAATATTCTAAAATCAATTTTAAAGTAATCTAAAGGCAAGATAAAATAAGGACATTGTCAATCTTGCTAAAGGGCATTGTCGCCAAATATTTTCAGCTCGCTTCGCGCGCAAAGGTACTCCCGAGCCTCTCGGCGGCACTATACAAAAGTAAGCCAGAAAATCATATCTATATAAATGAAGCCTGGTTTTATGTAACACTCTTTTTAAAAATAATAGAATGATGTTATTCCTTCTGCTCTCAAGATCTTTGTCAAACAGATAGCGCCATTTATGGGACTCAGTTCCAAACGAAATAAGTACTCCCTAACTTTACAAAAATTAAAAAAAAAATCTCAGAATTTTCGTCGTTCAGTACTTTTTTTCTTTACAAGAAATAGGTATGCAACATAAATTATATTTTATTTGAATTATACTTAGCGTTGGTAGTTTAAAATAGTTGGCTTTTTTCGTTTGAATATAGCTGCAGATTTTACCAACTTTGAATCAAGAAAGAAAAAACAGTAAGTTCAGAGGAGTTAATTCCAAAAAATTTGTTTTAATGCAAAGGAGGATTGGGTCCAGCCTTTCTTGATAGTTGATGTTGGGGTGAAAGGAATTTCAAGTTTGACTTTAGTCTTGGTTCAAAGTATTTTTATTGGTGTTGCCTTCATTTCCGAGGGTCTTTAGGGTGTAGCAATGCAAAATATTCCTAGGGGCCACGCACCCAGAACACCGACCCTGTCTCCCTTGACAGGGCCTTCACCTACAACCAGGCTTCGTCATTGGCTAAACGACGAATCTTAATCTGTTCCAGTAGCAAACTTTGACACCCCAAGGTGCCCTTTCTGCCGGTCCTGCCCCCGCCGCATCACGAAGCCTGGCGCCTCTGTTTTAGAACATAATACATATTTATGACAATATCAGCCTTCCTCTTGTTGTATATGATATACCCTGGGTTCCAGAGCGTCAGTGTCGAGGAAATAGGGGGTTACTCTCCCGCAACCCCCTATTTCCTCGCCGCCCTATTTCCTCGACATTTACTTTGTTTTATTATCAATGATTGTTTATTATGCCTCTGATCGAGATGTCGGATCGAGATTAATATGGCGGGAAAGTTGTGTGGAGGAATAGGCCCATGAAACCTTTTCTAAATTTAAAATGATTGGTGATAAGTCAATATTTTGTCTTCTTTTTAATTTTGATGTTTCAAATTGACTCTACGACCACCCTAGGCCTCTGCAGCAAGGCATGGCTTTCAAAGAAGCGGAAGAATTTGAGAAACTTCTTGAAAGTTCTGATGTTTATAAACCCAAAGATCTGGCTTCAGGACTGTTTCGAGATGCTGGTAAGGCTTTGTTGTCGTAAAGATTGTATATGAAACGTCAAAGTTTAGTATTTTTAAGTATTCTCTGTTACGGGCAATTTCACATTTGCCAAAATTGGATCAAAGAATTGGAATTTTCATGTTAAAATAAGCCTGTTTCGAAAATTTAATGTTGTTTAGCCTGTCAAACAGAGAATTAACCTATTTTCAAAATTTAGCTTTTCCTATACATTTCAATGAAATTTCCTGCTGCAGTGAAAATTTTTGAAATTTTTTCACTACAACAGCGATTTCCGGTCAAATCTGTAGAGATGTAAATTGACGTAACTCGCGACTGAACGATCCAAACAACAAATTTTTAATTTAAACTAATTTCAAGATGAAGATTTCAAATATGAAGTCCAATTTTCATCAGTCATGACTGACGGGGCTTCTGTGCATAAATAATTTTAAAATGAAAATGAAATTTTAAGAAAGGTCTGTACATATACAAAATCGATGACCTCAACCGGGAATGAAGAAAATAAAGTACACAACCATTTATATCTCTGAGGTAACCCTCCGCAAAGTACAGGGGCCTCACCAAAGGGAGGTTGGTTATGGGGTCTTATCTTGTAGTACAATAGAGTTCTTAAGTGATGACGTCACAAAAATATATTTTTAGAATTTTTGAATTTGGTTCCCATAGCCTGAAAGAGCATCATGAAATACCTCTAAATTTGCAAAATCAGTCAAATGTGTTACGAACTGGCTGATATATGGTCACATGTGTATTGGCTCTTTTCCCATTGAACCTCTGTATTTTGGTCTCTGTGCATAACTTTATGAACAGAGCCAAAATAACAGTGATTCGTTAGCAAACTTCAAATCTTTCATTAGCCATATCTCAACCGATTTTAGACATATTTGACTAATTTTGCATACCTGGACTTATTTCATGGTGATCTTTTATGTTATGTGGTTAAAATTCAAAAATTCTAAAAATAGGTTTTTGGTGACGTCACACTTTAGAACTCTATTGTAGCAGTGTAACAATCGTAACCATGACAATGTAATGTATGAACGTTTTGATAACAGCTGAACTTCCAGGGTGTAATCCATGTAAATCTCAGGCCAGATACACATCAATAGGCATTAGAAATACAATGGGAAGTCAGTAGTCCACGCTGGATATTTCCAGTGTAAGATACATGGATTCCACACTGGCTGAACTTTTGAATAATGGCACTAAAAGCCTTAAGAAGTGAGACACCCATTTTTGTCACAAAACTGATACCCCTCTAGTACCCCTCTGAAAGACTTTTTGGCTTTGCCCCTGGTCATATTGCTTGCATACTCAAGGGTGCAAAACATGTACAGTTTTGGTTATGCCTAGCTGCAACCAAGATCAAAGAACCAGCTGCAATCGGCAAGCAAAGGCAATCATAATTTTGAGCTGAAAGCAGTGATACTTGACTCTAGTATGATAAACAAAACATTATTGATTTTGATGGCCAGCTGCAAGTTCAAGAAATCCAGCTTTCTGGCATATCAATCTCAACAAAGCATGCTTTGATGAACTGTGCATTTTCATGCATAAACAACTATTTTTTTAAAAGAAGTGTGAATACCAACCAGGCTGCAGAACTTGGCAAGTGCACACACAAATTTTTATTGTTTAGGAGTGCACATTTAGATTGAGTTGTGGTCATAAAAATGTTGTCTAAATTTTTTCAATTCAGCTATGAGCAAAATTTCAAAATGACAAAAAATTTCAAGATAGAAAGAGAACTATACCATTTAAATTCGTAGACTGAACCAGACAGTGTTTTCAAGCAAACCAGAACGAGTTTGCAAAATAATAAATGCATACACATTTCAAGTGGAGGATTGCAAACTGAAAAATTTGGCTATGCACACTTGATATCTTCCTGAAATTAGACCAACTCAGCATACTGGAATTCTAATAGTAACATAGCAAAGCTTTGCAAGATATGTACCATGATTTTTCAGGATTAAGCTAAAATTTATGATTCAATTTGATTGATTTGGCATGGAATGAACCATAAAGTTGATTTGTGTTCCAGTTTTAATTTGTTTATTATTTTAGCTTCATAGCATAGTAATATAAAATAGTAATATTGATGTTTTTTTGAGGTTTTAAAAATTATTTTCACTCATTACTTCATTTAAAGGATGCCATATCAATCAGATCAATTTTCAGGTCCTGTACAATGTGAAATTTTGTATCATTTTTGAATAAGACAGTATAAATCTCATATTGAATAAAACACTCTAATAAAAGCTTCCCTTTAACATATTGAAAATTGAGTTTAAGCATGTGTTTAGCATAAAATTAAGTTTTCATATTTTTATTACTTAGTTATTAGGTCTTTGAATTATTTATCAAATATTCTTTCATGCAAAGAAAAATATTGGGAAAGATTCCCCAGATTCCCCAGTTACAAAAAATATATATCTTCCAACGTTGAATCACTACCTTTTTAAGTACAGCTGTTCAAACCTAAACAAAATTGATAAATACGAGTAATATCTGTTAGAGAGGATGTTGATGTATCATGCCTTTTCAGCAACAGGCACTAAGACAGTTGAAAGGTAGGTTGGCAAAGCCAAGCAAAAGTGAAGGGGTTTGTAGTTTGTTATTTCATCCTTCATTGTTGATTAGAAAGAATATTAAAAGAATATATCTTGAAAGAAGCTAGGTTTTCTTATCTATTTCACAAAATAAAACCCAAAGCTAACTGTAAAAAGTAGCTAAGCCATAAATATAAGTACAACAGAGCTTTGAATAAATGTGAGGTTCAACTCTCTGTTTGAAACTTGATGTTATAGCTAGGAAGCATGCTGAAGGCAGAAAAATACATTCAATGTGGGCTTAAGCATACCAAGAAGTTGTAAGAACTCAACAAATCTTGACAGGACTAAAAAACAATGAATGCAGACATTTTTCTGAGAACGACACTTTTTTCTGATGTTTTACACAAAATTATGTTTTCTTCCTAAAATTTTGGACAGGCTGGCCTTGGCTTTGTGCCTCCTCAGCTATAAAGTGTTTAATGAGAATTGATGCAATGTAAACATGGAACAGAACAATTCTACCTTTTAGGTTATATGTTTATTTACATTTTGCAATGAATGTCCTTAACACTATAATCATTTAGGCAGTGCTATGCAACATGTGTTGCTTGATGATTGCATTAAGCATTGAACTTGAAGTTGCACCTTTCTATTTTTTGCACCAGGGCCCATGTAACAGGGGAGATGTAACAGAGGACCATGGCCAACCCACTACCTTGCTTAGTGAAATATTAACATCAGCTCAAGTTGTTTATATAGATGAATCTATAGATTACAAGAAACAAATTGAACCAAAATACACAAGTAAAACAGTGCCAGCAAAACTTTTGCCACAATTGGGGTTACACAAACTTTCTTTACATTCCTGGCCCCTCCTGGCTGGAAAGCATTTATGTTTAGTTAAATAAAGAAAAAATGCTTATCATTAATCTTCTATAAATTTGCCTTGAATGATCACCAAAAATTTTTTTTGTCCTGATGATGTTGATGAGACAGGGCTGCTATTTGCATCCCTACCAAGCGAATTGTAGCATACGGAGGATTGTCAAAAAAATCATTATTCATTTCAGATCGCTAATAACAACTGAAGTTGACCATGTCCTACAATACAGATCTTGGAAATGGTTTTGAAAAAAGCAAACATTTTACAAAATATTAACTAGAAGCTTTTTCGTCTGACACTCCTCAGAGCATAAAACGTCAGAATGAAGATCCGAAAGCCAAAATGGAAAATATATACGCAGTTGTGGATCGAAATAGGGATTTATTAGAAATCTAAACTGCACGCTGAACTGGAAAAACTCAAAACGATCTTCTTGGACAACGGCTATCCTGAAGACGTCATTTTATCTTATACTAAGGAGAAGAAGTTTTTCGGCTGTTCAAAAGTTTGGTCCGCAAAAGTGCCCAGTTTATTTGAAACTACCATGGATTGGTAACACTTCCTTGCGATTCCAGAGTCAGATTAGGCAAGCCATAACAAAATGTTTCTTTCCTGTCAATTCTTGGTATTGTATACAGCACTAGGAGAGCCCTTCCATCCATTCAAAAGGATTGCATTCCTACCAACCAAAAAAGTTCTACGTAGGACGCATAACCCAAAGATTGGAGGATATGATAAAACAGCATGTTCCTTCCAACATAAGAAACGAACTGCCTCTCAAAGAAAACAGCCTCCTCGATCCTCGATCTTGGTATATATTTTTCATCGTATTCTTTTGGACCTTCATTCTGACGTTTATGCTCCGAGGAGCGTCAGACAAAAACGCTTTCAGCTAATATGTTGTAAAATGTTTGATTTTTTCAAAGCCATTTTCAAGTTCTGTGCCGCCAAGAAATTGAAAACAGATCACACAATAAATTTTTTACAATCTTGAAAATTTATCCAACCAGGTACACATATTATGGCCTTTGATATTTGACAAGCAAGTTTGCCATATAGGTTTTATGGGTACTAAGAATCTTTGCTCATTTAATATCAATATTCTTGTTTTGCTTTTCTTTATCTTTATCCACTAATATTTTTATTTGAGTTTCTTTGATAAAGATCTTTGCCAAATTTTTAGATTAAATAGTCGATTAAATAAAACTTGCTCTTAATAGGCTTTTATAGGATCCTGTACCCCAAAAATATTCATTGTTCAGGAAATAAAAATGAAATCTAATTCAAGCTCAAAGATTGGTACCATTGAGAGTTTTCACTGAAACCGAGGTTTAGTTATTTTGAAGGATTTACTTTGAGATTTTCCAGCAAATTGATTAGGTGAATCATTTCCCCAGTAGTCTACGAGAAACATAAATTTCCATGATAACTGCCAAACTACATGAAAAACTTGCTTTGTTTGACATGTGATGTATAAGAATCAAGTTACTCTACTGTTGCTGATCATGTTTTGGCTTACAGTTGAAATCTCTGGCTTATACATGTTGCTAAGAGAGATTGAGATGAATCTCTCTCTAAGTATTGCCTCTACCTGTAGTCAACAAGGTTGAGAATATTTTTTAAGCATAGCACTATTTTTATATTTATTCAGTGTGGCTACTCATGAAACAAAATTTACTTACGATTGTTATTAAGAATATTTGCAGAAAAATTCAGACTGTCTCTTTTAAAGAAGCACCTGAAAGCAACCTTGTAGGAGACCCAATTTATCTTTGCTAAACTTAGAACTATTCCCTGTCTGTTTTGTCACTGTACATCTTTGCGCATGCTTTATGTCTACATGGATGGAGTTTATCTCATTCAGTAAAATACTTCTATTCTTCAACCTTTCTAGCATTAGCCAAGCCTTATAGAATGAACAAAATTTACATGCTGTTTTCTATTTCTTTTTAAGATGAAGATGCTATGCTTGAAATCTCAAAAGCAGTTGCTCGACTCCCAGTTCTACCAATATTGTCAGAATGCGCAGGGGGGTCACCATATGACTCGACTGAAAGGGGTAAGGGACATGAAATTTCAAAGGAAATCGAATCTCTTCAAGAACAAGCTAAATCATTTTCAAGTCATTTTTTGATAGACATTTGTGACTTGTCCGTCAGTTCAGAATATGTCGGCAATGCCATTCTATTTATGATCCAGGAGCACAAAAACCCGGGAAAGTCGTTTGAGGCGAGTGGTATTGACAAACTGATAACAACTTTTAACGAATTGGCTCAGAAGAAGCAAATATGCAAAGAAGTAGTATCTGAAGTTATTCTAAGATCCAAGAGAATAATCCCACTTGAAGTTCTTATGCCTCTGACTGAGGTAGGATTGCTTTCTTTAAGCAAATATCTTGCCACATCTTTGGATGCAGGAGATGGCAATATGCTAAGTGAGGAGCGACTTTCTGCTCTGCATAAGGACCTTGAGTGTTTTCTCTGCAGAAGTGGCTCGACAGAGTACGTTAGATTACCAGGTAATGAAATATTGTGTTTCATTATGTCTTTAACGGCTCTAAATCCTAATGCTTTAGGCGTTGCAAACAATGTTCAGAAAACTGTGAATGCAATGATTTGCCAAATCATCGAAGAACACGATTTTAAGGAACTTTTTGCTAAAAATGAAAGGGAATCTTTGGTCGCAAAACTGGCAGACATGGATAATTCTGAAAAACATCATATCACTGCGAGGGTGGACTTTTTCATGCAACTTGTCGAGACCTTTCTAAAGATGGGACAAAATCAAACGATAAACAATGCTTTTTTGTCACACTCCGAGTGGGTCTTCGCTAGAATGACTGAGAATACAATTACCTCTCTACAAGCAATGATGCTTTATGTAGATGACAAGGATTTAATCTCAATCATTGCTACATCGATGCGTGAAAGTAACTGTAACTTTCAGAGGCTACTCTCGTTTATTTCTGTATGGCTTATATCTTCAGAGAGTGCGCCAGACGTCTTTGCAAAAACCCTTACAAATCTTCTAGTTGATTCAATCGATTTGAAACAAATGTCTCTGGTTAAGGTTACCTTGCTAGTTGCAAGACATTGCACTTTACATAATCATTGTGGCTTTCCATCGTACTCGAAATGGCTTCAAAACACACTGAAGGATGTATTATTGGTAAATAATCGAGACTCGTTTATGACGTATCTTAGATGTTTAAACGATTTGCTACCTGTAGAAACAAGAGATTTTCTAAAGGTACATTTGACTTTAGGCTTTGAAGTCCCAGCTATTGCAAAACATTTGTTTAATGACTATAGTGGTATTGCCAAGACAAGACTCTGCGACTTAAAGGCAAAGCCAACGCAGAATGATGTACAATTCATTCACGTGAACAAGGAATTTGATTCAGGTGCCTTGAAGGACGTGGGGATTTCTGTGGGTCAATACGCGATCAACGGGAAGATCCCGAAGGCTGTTTTCGAAATGAGCGTGTTTCAAAAGAATTATTTCCTGAGCTCTTTTCTGCCCGCTTTATTGAACCCTGAAGCTCTGCACAATGACGAGAATCGCAAAAAGTTCGTAGAAGAGCTCAAAAGGGCAGGGAAGATACCAAACAAAATATACCAGACTTACGAACGAGCATGTGAAGATTTTAACATAAAAAATACCTTCAACGATGTCACTCGAAGTCTTAGCGAGCTTGCTGATATAGTAGTTAAGAAAATTAATGAACTGCCTCAAATCATTGTCAGCAATCAACAGATTGAGCAGCAGAAACACCGGAGAGTTGCCATTCAAACATATCTGGCATCTTTGTCAGCACATTTAAAACACTTTGAAGATGTTTGCGAGGAAAGAGGGAGTGAAGATATTTTAGCCTCTTTGTTCAAGGGTAATTTTGCAGATGCTCTGCTTGATGAGATTTGTCATTCATTCGCTATGAGCTCAGATCCCAAAGCATTTGCGAGCTGTAAATGGATAAAATGGGTGCTTCAAATAACAACTGATGGCGATGACTTATTAGCACGCTTAAAATCACGAATCTTGAAACTACTGGAAAGTGATATTTCTGTGCTAGAATCATACCATCTACAAGCCATTGCTTGTATTGTTTCTACACTTCAAAGCATCGAAAACCAGCCAGAGGATCTAAGGGAATCGTTTTTGAAGCAGGCTGTGCATTCTTCATTAGGATTGCAAGAAAATGAAATAGCATTACGAAGAGTTTGTCAGGCTTTTGAATTTGTTTCGTATCTTCTGTTTTTCTGTTCTTTGATTTCAAACGAAGTGATTGTTGCTGATGACAACTTGACTAGTGATGTTTGCATTGTTAATGATGCTATATTGTTGCCAAAGTCAATCATAGATATTTGGATGATGGTAACAAACAGGTTGAAGACATCTGTCGGTGCCATAGAAGGCTCACTCGAAGCTCCATTGAAAGATTCGGTTACTGAATTGAAAGAAACTTTGGAATTTGCCGAATCGGTCCAGCTGTTAAACCCTTATAAAGCTACTGTTGCAAACTACCAATTTGATCTAAGGGCATGGCTTAATTCGAACTTCAGATAGATGACAACAAAGATTATGTTCCACTGTTTTTGAAAGAAACCTTATTTCGCAGCATCATTGATGCTAATAGGGCTAAAGACCAGACCAGTGATCGTTTAAGTCCAATGTTTATCGCTAAATCAATCGTCAACTGCATATTGAACCGTCAAAGAACAGATGCATTTAATATAGTGTCCATATGCAAGGAAACGCATGCTTGTCAAGGATTCTCAGATACCTTTTTATTGGCAAAGGGTAAAATGCAAACCAAGGCCGCCCATGGCGTTTTGTGTTGCAAAGCGGAGTGCAGTTTTCACAGAAATGGAGAAATTGATCATCCTTGCAGCACACCGAACTCACTTTTGTGTTTCCTCAGATCCTTATGCGAGGAGATTGAAATGCATACAGTTGAAGAAGATGTCAGTTCTGATAACAAATCGTGGTTCCTCGATGCTTTATCAAGCTGGTTAAATGAGCTAAAAAATCAAGGTCAAGATGGAGCTACTGACAGCTACAAAGCCAGGATTTCTCCTCAGCAAATTTATCATCTTGGTACCCTTCTAGATATCCTGCCGTGTCATTTATTGTTTACTAATTCTCATATTGGCCCTCCGCCCTTCCTCTGCTTAGAAGACCTCGTTGCTTTGATAAACGACATTGCTTTATACTACCGCGAACATAAATTTTATCTGCCTTTGGGTTTCTTTATCCGGATTCTCAACGCTCTGACAAGCTACAGCATTCAAATGTATTCAAATGGCGCACCGAGGGAAGATGTCTTTGCAATGGTTGATAATTTTGTTGTATGTTGCCCTGTTTTCAGCATCTCCCTTGCGAATTATTTTAATAACCCCGTTGCTGCAAAGCCAATCAGGGCTCTTATAGCCCTTGGTAGCAAGGGCCTTGAGGAAATGTCTCACTTGAAAGCTGCACTTCAAAGTGACGATTTGCGTTTAATTTTCACCAGCAGAGTAATCACAGTACCAGTGCAAGCTATTTCCATTTTCATTAATTGGCGAGAAGCTCCTTACGAACAGAAAGAGCTTTTGCTATTGAGAATTCTTGACTTGTCACCAGAGATTCAGCAAATTATCCTCGAGTGTTTGTTTACAAATCTTCTTACGTTACTTATCGATGGGAAGTTACAGAATGGCTCTGATGAATACTGCTTGCCTGTAGTCAAGTTGATCAAAAAGATTCCTAAACAATGTTTTGTACTAATTGATGATATTTTATCAGACAACAAATCACATGGAGTTGGAGACTTGCGTGATATTTTCGTTACAAGGCATGAGCGACAACTATTTCCAATGGTTTTTATAAAAATATTAGCGCAGATGGATCCTCTATATATGAAACATTTATTATCTTTGGAAAATTCAAAGCTTTGTGTTCTAAAATGCATCAAGGTGAGCACGCTACTTGCGAAAGATCACGGCCTTCAAGAAAATGAAAGCTTGTGTGTCAGTCCCTTTGACGTAACATTTGTCAAAGAGCTTGGACTGGTAGAAAATGCTGTACAGTATGGAAGGTAGCATGGATTTGCTCGCATCCAGGTAAATTTGCTCGCATCACGTTTTGGAATGTAAAACGGTGATAAGGAAGATAATTTGTTGATTCGGAAGAAACGTATTTCATTTACAGCAGGACGAAGAAACGCACGACTAGAGAGGGGAAATGTCGAGGCAGCATTATGAATGGTAACATCAGGGGATGTATTGTTGAACACTCTCTGGAAGAGTAGTTACATCAAACATTGATACAGCTTCTTTCATGGAAGAAACGTTACAGTTATACTTTTAGAAAAACTTTTCATGTGTGAAGAATTGCAGACGAGAAATGGATGTTAATTTTCTTTCTCATTACACTTCTTACAATATCTCACAAAAATGTACTTGGAACAGCAAGCAATCGGTGTTATGCGTTTATATTTTTATTTAATTTCCCGAAATATAAATCCTTTCATCCCCTTCCTTTCAGAACAATGTTGATAGTTTAGGAAAATATCATATAAGTCACACGTAGAACCGTATGTTATGATCTCCCACGTTGATTCAGAGAAAGGTAACATTGTTGTACTCAGAAGGAGAAGGGGATGACAGAAGTTGCTCTTAAAAACTAAAGTCAGTGTTCCAAAACTTTAAGCAGGGGTTGTATGTAGTCCAAAGCTTCGGCCATATCAAATTATTCTCTAAGTAATACCCTTATTTCTGTCCCAAAGCTAAAGCTTTTAGTCAACCAGTCTCTTTCAAGGCTACCAGACAACCCTTAATGAACTGCCGTCAAAAGATTTGGTTAAATGGATTTACATGATGATCATAGCTATCCATGAATGACGTGTTGTAAAGATTTCCTGGATGTCGGTTGGTATAATTTTTCAGTCAATTAATAGCTCTGGCATTTAATTTTGGTGCAGACAGACGGAACTAAGCTTTGGTTTTGCAGAAAAAATCCATAATTCGGAATAAATTCTATTAAGGTTTAAAGTAACTTTTTAAATAAGTAATTGACAGCTCTTAATAAATTCTCCCAAAATATCTTATAATTATATAAACACACACAGCAGATGAATTTGAGAAGAAGCATATTTGTATTAATTTCTAATATGAGGGCGACCACACACGTGTTTGTAATTTAATGTTGAAACCCATCCATTGGTATTTTTATCTTCGACAACGAAGTTCTTTCGAGCCTATTTAACAACCACTTTTCTTGTAAATCTATAAGTTTAATTTTTAGGAATGGAGACATTTGTTCCAGAACTTAGGACAATTGACAATGTATTATGGCAATGTATCACAGTAAAAACCCGCGTGTAGGAATCTACTTTTTTAGAGTTTGGCAAACAGGCTCTTGTATTATGGTGTACTTATTGACAGTTTAGGCCAAATAGGTTCTTAGTTAGGCTCCTAATTTAAACAAAGTAGATATTGTCATTGACCATAAGAAAATAGCATTAAATCTAGTCTGTTCTTCGTTCTAAATATTTATTAGTGTACCAATGTTGCCAAATGTCCACCAACAATTGATCAATGATACAGTACTTTATATAAATAACACAAATAATTCTTTCATAATAACAGGTCAAGTTTAACGTACATTGTGCTTTTTGAGTTTTATTTTAACAATTAGATATTCTGTCACCTTTTTGTTTTTGGTAGAAAAGCATATAAATGGTGAAACCCCAAATATAAGAACGTCGGAAATGTTTTCGCTTAAAGGCAATCTGTCTCGTTGTGGATTGGTTAACGAGAACAATAGCTGGAACAATAGCCTAAACACGATTCCAGCGCTCCGCCATATTTTTTACAATGCAATAAATTAAAGGGGGACTGGAAACAATAAAAAATCACTTTGTTCTTATAATCAATCAACGTCGTGACAGATTGCCTTTAAACAGGTTCTTATTTTTTTGAGTATTAAAAAGCAAATTTCTGCCAGAAGTTTCTTAAATATGTAGGTTTCTACACGCTGGTTTTTACTGCATCGTATGTTTCATATTAATGGCCAAAACATATTAATGCAATGATAGGATCTAAATGACAATGACTGAGCATATGAAATAATACAAGAAATAAGGCTTTATGTTGAAAATAACTACCCAAGTCTATTTCATTCAAAGGAGGCTCTATTGAAAAACGTCTGTCACGTAATTCTCAACAAAGCTTCTCTTATAAAGACAAGTTTTTCTTAGTTTTTTCTATTCGAATTGAAGACAATTTTTAGCCAAATATGGGGGATGAGTTTCGATTTGTAGAAATGGTTCTGATAAGGGTATAGTTTATTAGAGAACTGCAGCACTAAACTGGTCAAATTTAAGAATGAATAAAAAACAACACCTAACATAACACCTAATTAAATTTGTTAATTCAATGGAAGTGATATCCTAAAGTAGGTCTTTGTATTGATGCGATAGACTACCAAAAGTGATGATTTATAAAAAAGCCAATTTTTCTATGTTTTTCTATTCTTTTTTATGTTTTTACGGTTACATGGAAACAATTTACATTTACGAATGATCAGGAAAGGTTTGGAAGAATAAAGAAAAGTCTCTCAAAAGTTTAATTTATGAAATTTCGAATTTCAAAACCTGTAGCTTTAGAAATCCTATTACAACTGTATTTATACTCCCAGAGCTATAATTCATGCAGCTTCATATATTATCACTTTCCTCAAATTTTTGATGGATATAGTCAATATTTCGCTTTTCCATCCATCACTATTTATTTCGTAGTGGGAGAGATCGCATCAACTAGTTGCGGATAATCTGATCTACGTTGGCCTAGATCAAGTTTTTCTGCAGCTGAGAGCTACCTCTTCAATGAGCTAGTGTTTGGATAGTGCAACTAAGAGGATATCATGTGTCTATAGTATCAAATTCTTTGCTAAGATATCAATTATGCAGTTATTACTTGCTTCTTCACTTTTAACTAGACATAATGAATATTTTAAAAAATGCTGTTTTGCAACAATTTTTCTTTATGCTGATGGATATAATCGCGAAGCAAATAATTGTTGGCACAATTTTGCATAAACTGTACTGCTGCAGCTTCTTCAAGTAACTTTGATAAAAATCCCAAGTTGCTTGATGGTCAACAACTGGTAATTGTAAATTTTAGGCCTATTTTCTACAAAGTTTCTCTGACAATCGAAATTTTCCATCGTTTTGATGCAATGGTGATTTGATCAGTTAATGTGGTAGATAGTTTGAGTTTTAAGAGTGATGTCATTTTAAGAATCGAATAGAATCATGTGTCCAAACAAAACATGAAGTTTGATGTCCGGTTAATCTTATAGGTTTTATAACTTCCATTCAACGGTAATTTTCAGCTATCCTCTGTTTTTCTTTGTCAGTTTAAAACAGATGACCTCTAACAAACTAGACACCTTTTCTGTTAAGAGACAATACAGCTTTTATTTCTCAGATCTGAATTAAAAAACTGGCAAAGATTTTCATGACCACTAAAACACCGCACCTCACAGAGGCTAATATAGTTATTAGAGCGGAGAGAAGAGATTGCTAAATAGCTCAGCCACACATGATACAATGATGGAGAAAAGTGAATGACCTTTGAAAGAAAGAAAGATTTCCCAGTGTCAATACTGACCTTGATGAAAAGAGGAAAATGAGCAAATACTTAAAAGGGTACACAAAAATTTATGATTTATCTTTTTGTAATTTAATGCATACGGTGATTAAATGCAAATATCAAATATTTTCTGGCATATTTGGTTACCCATTTCAAGCATGGTAGAATATCTCCACTACATTCGGTCTTTCCAGTTAAACGAGAGGAGATCAAAGGTCTATTACGACTAAGATTGGTAGTTGTAGGAAGAAAAAAAATCCAACACACATACTTGTTTATTTGGAATCTTCTTGAAATCTTTTGTTATGTTTCATTATTTCGTTGTTTATTTTCTTTTGCCATGCCTATAAAAAAATAAGATTGTATTAAAAACTATATGACTTAAATATGCTCTAAGTTCACAGTCGTATTTCAGCTTAAAGGGCAAAACTTTGAATTCGTGATACAATAAGTCAATAACGTAATGTTTTATATGGGCGTTCTAGCTAAAGTCACTCCGTTTGTAATTATCCATTTCGTTGCTTTTCCCAGGCCAAAGCGAATCTCCTGGACGCGATTTGCTTGCTAATTTACCTTATCTTTGACGCGCTTGTGAGGGGCGAAAATGCGCAAATTGTTTTTTGCAGGTCTGATTTGAGATTTTTGTAGCAATGTTAAATTTGTCGAAAAGATAGGTACCTCTCCATGATATGTAATCAGATATACCAAATTCTTCAATCAAAGTGGAAATTTTAATTTCACATGTATTTTTTCTTAAAGAAAAAGATGACAAAATCAATTAAACACGATATCAAACAAATTATTGCATTAATTAGTGTACTGGTGTCTTTAATCGAATCAGTTTTGTTATCATCTCAATCATTTAAAGAAATCTTAAGAAGTAAAAGTTGACAATGACTTTAATTTTATTTAAAAGCTATTTCAAATTCAGGGTTCCAAAAAATTGTGATATTAAAAAAAGTGCAAGGCAAAGATATATTGGCAAATGTTTAAAGAATTCCGTGATATGCAAATCGCCAGAAGAAAAAAAAAGATATGTTTGGATGATAAGAAGCAGGAATAGATTAGAGTAGTGTATTAATGTACTCGAAGCAAATTAATTCCAAAAACGGCTTTAGAACTCTTTCTGAAAATCACAAGCTAAAACACGAGGTCATCAGATGTTGAAATGTTCAAGGCACGACAACAGAAAAGATTCTCTGGAATGGAAGAATTCTTGTGGTTGGCAATATCTCTGTTATCCTTGGCCTGATAATTAGACCCCGATTTTGATATCGGGATCTGGTTATCAGTCTATATAAACCCGAGAAATATCTACTAATGCACGTACTGCAAATCAAGAGGATAAGAATAGCCATGGGTCACTGTCAGCAAAAATTATCAAGCAGATTCTAATTTGCTAATAACGAAATGTTTGGATCTGATAGCGATCTGCCATGTTGTAAGGGGGCTATATTCAAAGCCTAGTACAGTTATCCATCCTCAACGGACAACTCCCTGCAACGGACATCTCTCTGCAACGGACATTCCCTGCAACGGACATCTCCCTGCAACGGACATCTCCCTGCAACGGACATCTCTCTGCAATTAACACCTCATATGATTAATACCTCTCTGCAGAAATCACTTCGCTAGACCAGGCATTTCCCTCTCCTTACAACGGACACAGTTTTTGCAACGAACACTCCGCTACGCGAACACATTTTCGAAATCGAACACTTTTCTTGCATCGGACACCTCCCAGCAACGGACATGAAACTATCGTCACACAGTTGTCAACTACATGGAGGTTCACCTGAATAGTAAAAACTATATTGATAAATATTTTTCACAAAAGGACACTTCAAAGCAACGTAAAAACAGCCTTGTTGATAAAGAACAATTGTGGTCATATGTTTGTACCAGTAACTTCAAGCAACAAAACATGTTCAAGCAACAGACATTAAGGCCCTAGACGCACTGATTTCTGACATAAAACTCATTATCTTTGTCAAAGTGGAAATCGAGAATACTTTTTCAAGTTTGACAAAGACCATCCGATTTCCGCTTGGAAATTCAAGCGCGCTGCAGTTCTTATGTGAAGTGGTTGTTTGCTGTTAGGCATAATGTAATGTGGTTTAAAACAAAGAACAATTTGACATTAAGTATTTTGTAGCACCAGAAAAATGCGTTAATTGGTAATCATTTCCGTTTTCCAGAGCTCGTCCTGCTCTGGGGCAGGACGACGGAACCTTTAAGGGATTAGTGAATTTGGTTCAGTTGAAATTTGGGTGGGCGCAATGGAAAATCAGCATTTGTTTACTAACAGGCTTAATCCCTTTTCTCTATGAACAATAGAGATTAAGTGTGTCAGAAGTTCTTCCTGAAATCTTGTCCGGTGCGTCTAGGGCCTAACTCTGGCCAACTTCTGTCAGGTATTTGGAATTAAGCTGCACAGCGCAGACTTTTATGAACAAACGTCTGTTAATGACAGGTGTTTCCAAGCAACTTATAAATTATTTTGCTACAAAATTTATAGGAAAAGCTGGCTAAGCACAGGCAAAGATGAACCTACTATAGCGGACAAGACCCTGTTATTACAGGTTTTAATATAGAAATTATACAGATTGATATTTTTAGTATAATGAATTGCAGAAAATTTAGATACCAAAAGATTGTTAGATCCCTAACTCGTTCGTTACTTTTACTCCGATGAAACCCTGAATGCATTTACGAAATATTAGTATTTATCTAATTTAATTTATCATAAAATTCTATTTGACTAAATTTAATTCTCCTCGTCGTGTTGCTTTGTTTCTGACTATTTTTGCATTATTTATAATTGCAAGATTCACAGAATCCGGCAGACAGCATATCCTACGTTTATTCTTCCTTACACAAATTGTTAGTTTTTTTCAAGCCAATGAGATTGTTCATAGACATTAACCAATACCTTTCCCGATAAGATATCAAGTACACGTTCTTTCTATAAGAAAATAATTTATAAGAAAGTTGTGCTCGTTTCCTCAAAAGTAAAGAATGTTCAGGGCTGGATTTTTGAAACCTAAGAAAGTTGAATAATTTAGATATTCTAAATTTCAAAGGAAATTGTGGTGTAAGAGTGAAATATTTCAACAATACAGTAATGTGCTGAACAGGAAACGACGATTACAGTATGACGTTGAGGGGTTTTGAGAAATATAGCATATTTATAGCATTTCATCTTCTCCATCACTGCGCATGCTTAGTGACGTAAAACTTTCCAATTTTACGTTAAGAAAGTGCTAAGAAATTATAATGCTGAAATTAGGAAATAGCTAAGAAAGTCTGAGGGCTGGGCTGAAAAGGACTTTCTTATAAAAAAACGTATATGTCCTTACTTATCAAAAGGATATTAAAACGCAACATCTCACATTTTTCTATTAGATTTTCTTGGAATTCAGATTATATCAAAATCGATTTTATTTTTGACTAGTTTCAATTTCATGTAAACGTTAATTGTTGGTAACAATTTCTGCAACCACTGATAGCTTAAGTGTAGCGTTTCTCTTTTTTCAGACGATTTATGAGATTAAATCAGATTCTTGAGTTCTATTCAAAAGAATCTTGTCTCGTCTGGTTTCACTGTCATCTCATGTTTCTGAGTTAACCCCTTACGCATAATTTGTGACAAATCGCGTTAAAACTTTATTAAAAGCTGGAAAATATTTCCATCAGCGCAATAACTTGAAAAACCTAATTTTTGGAGACTTTAGTGGCTTTAATTTCAGAATTAACGATCTTTAACTTGTCTGGAATGTCAAATTAAATATCTCCTCCTTTAGAATGTTGAGTAAAAGTCTTGAGATTATAGAAAGGCAGATTAGATTTTTAGGTGAAAATAACGCGTTTATTTAAAAAAGCCTTACTTCAATTCCAACAAAAATACTAGTTTTTGCATGATCATGAGAAATAAAATATGTTAAATGGTCTGAAATGAATGTAAGTGCTTCAATGTCTTTGCAAAAATCGAATACTCTCGAAACATTTTTACAACGTTTTTCGCATAAGTTTAAAGAATGATTCAAATGAAATGAACGATCCAGTAACCAAATCTAGTCTTCTTGATTTAAACAGTAAACAGTTCTTGATCTTAACAGCATTTGATATCAGAGGAAATTTGCATCAAGTTGCGCCAGCATAAAACTCCTAATAAATCTAAGAACACGATTTTTGTTCGTTTGCCGAATCATATAAATTTGACCCGCTCTTTGAGTTAGCATTGTAGTTTGTTGATATAAATGCATTGGTTTCGATGTTTGAATTGGTTAGGTGTCTCATATAATTTGACACAGTTCTAAGATGAGTGATACTTAACAGCTAAAGAATGCAACCACGTTTTGACTCAAGATGGCCTATCAGACAATTTGAGGACTTTGAGGTAGACCTGATCTACAGAGGTCCTTCTAGGTCGTACTGGTCATCAAAATAAAAGAAATTTAAGACTTTGACTCCGGTACATTAACTCCTTGTTCAGCAGAGAATGCGTGCAGCGTTACAGATATTGCTCCTAAGAATAACAGACACTCACTAGCATCTTTGATACTAGAAGAAAGGAGCATACTTGATTGTTGCCTACTGATTTGTAAGGAAAGGTAAGCAGAAACTACAAATTGAAGCATTTACAATAAATTCTTCTCTTATCAAATGATTGTTTCCAGTGAACAGTGGTTTGATATTGAAGCTCTTCTTAAGAAAGTTTCTTGCATATCAATTTCTAAAAATTTCAACTAAAGAGAATAGGAGAATGGTCATGCTTAGTGATATTGTTGTGTGTTGGGCAGCCATCTTTGTGTTTAGGCCCATCTTTGTGTAAATACTTCCCGGTGGGTCATCTCAAACTATCAAGTGTAAGCAGCCGTGTCTGAGGGTCTAGAAAACTGACACTTATCTCTGATGTTTGATTCCAATGTGATTTCCCTTTTCTTTGAAACCAAAGAGAATTTATACCCTTTTTCCTGAAATCAAGTAACAGAAATAAAGCCAAACAAAGAGAAATTAGAAACTATATTAAGATTCCCATATCATACATACTGTTTTATATTTCCTTTGTCCTAGATATATGACAAAATTGAACCCCTTTCTCAGAAAGAATGAAGACACAGGTGCTTACAATTGACAATAAGGGTAGACCCGCCGGGAAATACTTTCACAGGCAAAACTTTTTGCTGACAAAGTTGGAAACTAGTCACCTGCCAGCTGATTTTCATAAGAATATGCTACTACATGCTACATACTAAATACTACATAGATATTGCCTGCAATCAAAACACAGTTCGGTGTAATCTTTTCTCATTATAAAACGTTGACTGATGTGATAGAAAGTTTTAATCCAAAGTGACATTTTCGTATTATCTAAAGACAGATAATGTTTGACACAGGCTGTCGTGTAGACTTCATAAAGTCTTCAAACGTTTGATAAAGACACCCACATCTCTATTTAGCTTCAGATAACGGCTGGTCAATTTGCAACGAAACAAAACCTTTAAACAAGATACTTATTTTGAGCAGTATAAGAACACCACAAATCTTTGTTATTGCAGATCACTCTGTACCAGGCACATCAACCGAACATCATCTCAAACAAATGGAACTTTTATTGCCCATAATTATTCTCTTAAAACCTTAAAATCTTGAGGTCTTAAAATCTCATGGGCAAGACATGATTATGTTAAATTCCCATATCACATTGAAAAACAGCTTTTTATTAAAGGAAGCACAGTCAATACCAAATCAAATTTTCCATATCTTTTCAAAAGATACTGTTATCTTGATAGGACGTCATCTCAGGTTTCAAAAGAATCTTTTTTACAAGAAACCATGCCTAGAATAAGTGTTTTGTCTTTTGCTTTGTTTTCTTGATTTTGATGATAAATAAGGCAAAATAGCTGTGAAAAGCAAAAACATGAATCAGAAGACTTTTTATTCTTTCTCTAAGAATTCAATCGTATGAAAATTTGTTTCCTTCTAAGCTTTAAAAAAACATTTTGAGCAGCTCCTTAAGATAGATGGTCATTTTAATGATCAATTTTGTAGAAGCGGTTTCATATAAATAATGGTGCGTAAGATTAATTCTTTGGCTGAATTATTTTTCTGTATTACCAACTAAAACAGAAACAATTCACGGATTTCCTACACATGTCAGAGCTAGTTGAAAAACTGGCTGTTCTCAATAAAAACGGCCGTCATTGTGAATTCGAGTCTTAATGTGATTTGCAAATTTTGGCAGAATGAGAAAATCCTAGAAAACATCCATTTAATCTTGCCGAAAATTTAATCAGTTCAAAATATGAAAACAGCAAATATGAGAAAAAAGCAAGGTGAAAAGCTTAGACTCTATTCCAATATCTTACACGTTTCTGTTTAATGCTGGAATTTCTTCTATTAATGATAGCAAGTTCAATTTTAGAAAAATTGCAAAGATTGTATGGCGTTCTCCAAAGTACTGATTATTCTGTCTTGTGGCTTCAGCAACAATGACATCCATGGACACGAAGCCAATATCCAGGAACTGAAAACAAACACTATTTTACTGTTTTCCTCATGACATATTGTCTTTATTTCATAAGAGAGCTAATCTATGATTTAAAGTCACGTCCAAAGAAATATGAATTTTTGTGGGCCAAAATCTAGACTAATTAAATCCTTAGAAATGGGTTTCGCTTAGGGTGTACCCAACAAAACAACAGGGTTTTGTGTACTGTCGCACAAATCGCTTTCTCCAAATTCCTTAGCAGTCTCAACATGACTTTTTAGCCTTGTTTTGTGCTTATTGGCTGATTTGATTGTCAAACCAGAGGCCCGAACCAAGAGGGATTGTGACAGCGCCTACGGCTATCGGGACAAATGGATGCAATAGTAGCCCTTGAGTTCTACTGACTTTGGATTTAAAGCAGTGGTCAGTACACAACGCAACGATATTAATCAAAACACAGCCCAAAGACAACTCACTGAACAAAGCTGCAATGCCTTCGCACAGAATAAAGTTTCTGCTTAAAGCACTTGTGCTCCTGCTACTGTTTGTCTGTGGGAGTCAGTCATTATTGATGAACACACAGAAAAACTTTGAAACCTGCCTAGCCACGGGCCTGGATATCCTGCGTGAAACAAGAAATATTCAACGATTCAGAGCCACTTTTGATCTTGAAACGGTAAGTTATTGTACTGTAGCAACTTCTTCGGCATGCTTGGCGGGTTTCCTTAGTATCCGCGCGTCACAAAAAGAAGTAGTTGAGATTATGAACGATATGAAAGTGTCTATTTGCTTTTATAAAGCTCAGAAAGAATATTTTTGTAGTCTAAATAGACCGTAGAACTTTTGGAATCAATCATTGCTACTGAAGATTCAACATATTTGTAAAAAATTAAAAGCAAAGCTCTTATGACTAAAGTTTTCTTTCATCGTATCCTAAGCTGCCTTCTGCATTTTCTTATATATATAATCGTATTAATTTAATGCAATTTCCATCTGGAAAATCAAGAACAATGTTTTTGTAAACTACTGCGGTTTTTTTGTAATCTGAAGGTAAAATAAACATAATTTACTAAAAGAATTCTCTGTGCTCCTTGAAAAGGACGGCAGTTGGATAGGAAAAACAGTTTTGAACTAACCGGTATAAAAATATATGAAATTGCCAAAGATAATAGTTGTAAATCTCCAAGAATTATCTAGTTAAACATATTTCTATATTTTTTATTAGTTGAAAACAAAATACGCTAACAATGGCCCTGTTAAGGTTTATAAAATGTTAATGCAAAAAAGGTTTGAAGTCTGCTCCCGATTTTGCGCTTGACTTAATTGTGAGTGATTCATCACAACCAATCAACCTGGTAGGGTGAGTGCGTGAGGAAGCACACCCTTATGATTTGATGAATTTCTCTCATAGTATGATTTCAAGAAAGCCCGTCAAAACACTGCAGTATTAAACATCTCAAAATATTGCACCTCTCCTACAGCCTATACTGGGAACAGCTTATTGAAATTGTTCTTATTGAAAAACATTTCTGGGTTAGTGGATGTCAAAGAAAACATGACACTTTATCAACATTATAATAAATTATAACTGTTATAATAAATTATAATAAATTATAACTGTAAGAAAAATAGATGAAAATATTACAAAATTAGAAATGTCACAACTTTATTTGTATAGCAAATGATAGAAATGACAACAAGTTTTTGCAAAATTTTCGGATCACTTATTGCAATATTGACTCTTACCTTATACTCAGGTTACGTCATTAGGAATAAATACTGCAACTACGAAAGAGAACCTTTATTGTGAAAATTATCCTTACAAGACTCAAGGCCAAGATCTAAACTCACAGTAAAAGTTATTCATAAATATTGTATTAATTTCTACATTGAACGAATTCTGCTTTTAGGTTGAGAGACACTGCGTTTGGAGTTGTCTTTTGTAAATTTGCTGACTTGTTGTCATTTCCATTATTCATTATACGAAAAAAGTTATGGCATTCCTTAGTTTGTAATATTTTCATCTATTTTTTCTTATATTTATGCTTTATTATATTGTTGATAAAGTGTTATATTTCTTTGATTTACTTTGACTCACTTTGAAATATTTTTTAATAAGAATAATGCCAATTATCTTAGACTGGATTCTTAGCATCATGACCATAAAGTAACATGATTTGATAGAAAAGAATAAAGTAGATGATTGCCTGATTATAGCATCTTAGCCCTTAGCTCAGAGCCAAAACTTAGAACCGTCCTGCACATTACTCCAAAGAACCACAGCTCTGTTAATACATCATCGAGCTTTATTTTGATTTGTAGTTGTACTTTTATTTGTTTCTACCTAGCATCCGAAGGTAGTTTTAAGGACACTGAAAATCTTATGCTTGTCAAGCAGCGTCCTGGTCCTTCCTCTTGACCTCGTGATCCCTACGCCTGGAATTACAGAGAGCTAGCGACTCTCCTCACCCTGGATGCAAGTTTGGTCATGCTGGGTCTGTAGTCAGCGCCTCTAACCACTATGCCATCCCCACACGCAATTATAAATGAGACCAGGAGCAGTGATCTTTGTTGTTGAAAATGCCTTATGCATTAAAGTATAAATTAGAAGTTAGCAACGATATTTATTGAGAAATAACTTAAGGGCAACCGACAGATACAAACGTGGCTTCAGCCATCTGCCAATCAACAATCGACCAATCAGTGAGCGTGATACAATATACAAGCCTATTGATTGGCTGGCTAATAGTGATTGACAGGTAGCTTTGGACACTTTAGTATCTGTCATTTGCTTGAAAAGAAAAGCAACTACCGTTGGTTCATTCTTTTTTTCTTCAATATCCAGTTAGCAGTTCTTCAAAACACACCTCACATCCAGTTACCATTGCCAACAATAGGATTGCCCTCTAGAAGAGAGTTAGAAAAAGCGAATTAATATTTGCTAACAGGTAGTTTCCATACACCCGATGAGTTTTAGGACGTGCAATATTATTGAAGAAGAAGATGAGAGTTTTCTAAGACCATAAACTCGTCCTTGGGTTATTTCATTCTTCTTTTATTAGCGAATAAAACGAATGTTGCAATGAACTGAGTTGATCTACTCTCCTCCTGACATTAGGTATGTGGAAAATCCAACTGTAAAATAAACATTCTCTTAGTAACAATTTCCTAGCATTAATACAATCATGTGATCTCGATAGATTTGTAAAATGCTTTGGCCTAAAATGGAAATATTTTGATATCTTTGCATTCATTTTCAGCGCAAAGTCTACTACAAAGTAAATTTTTGCAAGAATTTTTCCATGTGCTTTGCTTCTACAATTGATCAAAAAAAAGTAAACGAGGATGTGGTGAACAAAATTGAATCGTGGGCAAAGATCATCCGAGTTATACAGGTTCGTCTTTTGCTATCTAACCTGCAACATGTTGCAGCTCTCCCCTCCCCCATATCAGGCAAAATTTATTAAGACTTTTGCCTATTCGGGTGATTTTAACTCGACCAAGCAACAATATTCGAGGAAGACACAGACTAAGCTCCCTAAACTTTCAGCCTTCGCTACCCCCATTATTGACCTAATCTTAGATGAATTGTACGAAAACAGTTACCTCTATTGCAATTTGGCTGATTTGTGGTCAGTAAACAAGATTTATTCCAGTAAAGGACTACTGTTGTTTCATATGGTTTGTAACCAATTTTTACAGTTTGTTAGTTGTGCTCATTTAGATATCTTTATAGTAAGTACTCCATGGTTTGTGCTTAGTCCAAGTTCAGCTAATCTAAAAATAGACTTTTGTGGGGCCATTGCATACCCCTCCTTTAAGCCCTAGTTTCTATATTTTAAGTTCTTGGAGCTTGTAAAGAACTTTTGGTAATTTCAAGCACAACATCCATTTACAAGCCATGAAAAGGTGAGAAAGTGAACAAAGAGAAAGGGGAGAAGATAGGGAGGAAAAGGAGAAAAGGGAAGATTGCAAACGGAAAATTGGTAACAAGGGAGAGAGGAGGAAGCACAGGAAGAAGAGGAGAGGTTGTGAGGAAAAGTTTAAGCACCAAAGAAGCGTGAAAGACTGCTATCGACCCTATTATACAGCATAACTCAGTACACGAAGGAAGTCGAAAGCATCTCTCTTTGAATGAAAAAGCTTTTTTTTTATGGCACGTCCTTCATAAATTTTAAGTTTAAAGCTCAAACAGACTGGGACAAAATGAGCTGGGATTGAAATGAGTTGGAATCAAATGAGCTGGGATTAAAATGAGCTGGGAAAAAAGAGCTGGGATTAAAATGAGCTGGGATAAAACAGCTGAGATCAAAATTAGGCGTGATGAATTTTTCAACAATGTATTTTTGTCTCTTTTGATTTTCTAAGGGCAAAAGGAATTTCACGCCATATATCAAAGATACCCATTCAAAAGAATTTGGTGGTCCAAGGGACTACTACAACTGCACCAAACAATTCTATATTATAACTCACAAACCAACTCAAGCAGAGATACGGAAAGTAACCAAAAGTAAGTATTTTCGTTTTTAATGATTTCATTTAAGATGGAAAGCAAAACCTCTCAACGATGGTGCAAATGAGAACTATGGAGGTTGGGGTGTTACCATTGTTTGCTTTTTAACGTAATAATAATAATAATAACCTTATCCCTTTAAAAAGGATAGATCGTGTAGGGGCATGTGGTAATCAGTTGAATTAACAAGTTAAAATTCATAGGATATCATACATAGATGTAGAAACCGGGGGCTAAAAGGCACGAGCCCCCCACTACTGAAACCCGCTTTAGATGTGAAGTACATACTTGCAGTTCAAGGAGGTGAATTTTTGGGTCTACATGTATCCCCTTTCTTTTAAAAATTATAAAATTGCAGTCTGTAGAGACCTCTGGTTCAGCATTACAAGTTGAATGGACGTAATAATTTGTAATTTCTTTGATCGCATTCATTTCCAGATAAACAATTTATCGAGGGAGTCTTAAATTGAAGGTATTTCTCAAAGAGAGTCTCTTATTGTTCTTGGGTACCATTGTCATTGCATTGCTAGGAAGGTTAGTCAAGAGAGGGGCGTGGGGTAATGACTCACTCCTTTGTCTCCCAGCAATCAAATCAATGTTATTGAAAAGGAGAAAGGCTAACAGTTTTGGTTCCGTACTTTAAACGTAGTTAGCTACTGGTCCCCTACCCTGGGTGCCAGGGCCTCAGAGAGTCAAAGGATGAAGAACGGGGGAAGGAATTTCACATTTCCTTTCACCCGTTCTTCATCCTTTGACTCTCTGAGGCTCTGGCACCCAGGGTACTGGCCCCCTTTCGCTGAAAATCTTGCCTAATCAATGGTTTGGGTTGATGAATAACATTATCCGATTTTTTGCTAGATATTCCATCGAAAAACTGTCTAAGCAACCAGTTATGTAGCCGAACTTGCTTGCACAAAACCGAGAAGCGAAACCGTTGTCACGAAGTGCGTATTATATGCAACTTCAAATGCTCTGCCAAAAAACGCAAAGGGCGAGATGTTTTTGGATTAGTCGCACCGAGGAGCAGAATAAAAGCCAGGCAGACTCCGGAGGGATTCTATCTTACTTGAATGCGCAACGCTCAATGTGCCTTGGTCGACAATGGGGCGAAACCTAAGAGGACGTTCGCAGTTCTAGCTCGACTTGAATGCACTAGAGTTAAAGACATCTTTTGCCTTGTTGGTCGCAATAGTCTGTATAGATTTGAATTAGCGAGAGACAGTGACAACCCAACGATAATAGGCTAGTATTGAGAATCATGCAACTTTTAGAACTCAATATCAGTGTGATGTAGAATCAGTGTTGCAGATAGCATTTAGGCCGCCGAAAGGGGCGTGTTTGCTTATATTACAATCTAGTTTTCTTTGACAGACCCCTCTTGCTCCCGACATACAATCGTTATCTTCTTTTGAACAATTTTTTAGGCTCTTCTTTTGCAAATTAGGGATGTAAAAGACATTTATGCGTGAGCACTTGATACAAACTTTGGCAAAAAATTTATATTATGTTTTTAAAGTTGACACTTTTGTTGGAGACGTGAGTAGGTTAAAAAAGGGAAAAAAGACTGAAAAACTGTTCCTCCATATTCTGTTTTACTTTTCAAATTGCATTTAAGGGAAGAATCTAGGTCTCTTCTGTAACCAAACCAGAAACAGCGTCGCAATGTTCAAGATTGTCTCATCATTGCTTGGTCTAGCTCACATCTGTTCCAAGCAAATTGAATAATCAACAACGTGAGTGAGTCAACAAATTTCCCTTTCAAAATCGTAACTGAAAAAAATCAAGCCATGACTGCCCCGAGCTTCCCCTATTGCAAATCATAAGCCATCGAACTAACCCTCCACCACCATCCAAACCCCATATTAACCCAGCTATTCTATGCAATATACGATGTAATCGTCCAGTGAATCTTATTTGACGTAACAGCATAGTCTATGAGTACCTTCAGATATTAACCAGCTTTTAGGCCTAAAATTTCGAAGGACATAAAACAGGACAACGTCATAATATTCCGTATTCCAAGGGATCTTTTTTAACGAGAGAATAAACATGCTAGTCAACGCATGCGCATAACAATAGAGAGCACTTGGTTTTCCCCTTTCCAATAATGACAGTTAAACGAAAAATTACACGAAACTGCCAACAAATTCTAGCATGAAGTTTTGTCCTACATTACTTTTTAGTCAAAGGTAGAAATTTGGTGAGTAAAAATATGACAGTGGTTGGTTACACCATAGAAATTAGATGTCGGTTGTAGATCATTGTAGAGAACTTGTAAGTGAGGGTGCAAAATTTTTTTCACCTTCTTCATACATTTTAAAATGAGAAAAACAACTACTTTTTGTTTGTTTTTTAATTTCAAGCATCTTGTTTTCATCGAAGAGTTATCATATGTGCATCTTCCTAAACCCTAAACTATCATGGTATTCTTAAATGAAATACTATTTTTGTACAGTATAACCGTTTCAGGTAAGGTGTAACGGCTACAATTAGCTGTTCTCTTTGAATTAAATTTGTTAAGTATAAATAGAAACATTTCTAGAGACAGGCATTAAGGCAGCAAAAAAACTTAACAAAAGACAGCTTTTGAAATTAAACGCAAAGTGTGTTTTTTAATTAATTTTGATAAAGTAATCTTCATTTATGATATCGCTTGGCAGATTGTGTCCTACCAAGGCTCATTAGAATATAAAATTCAAAAGCCCTTAACCGATAACTTTAAATGTCATCACAGAAGTAATTTTGAATATGCTGAAACGATGGGCAATGTACAAAATGTTTGATATTGCATTAGTACAAATTAAAATTAGTCATTAAAATCTAAAAATTAGTCAGGCTGCAAGTAATTTTGATTTATAATCCTTGGCTCCTAAAAGTTAACTTCACAAAAATTTTTGATCCATATTCAGTGTTTACAAAGTCGATTGAACTGCCACATCACCATTTGCTAAGATAAGCCTTTATAATAGAAGTGTTAGTGATCAATTCATAATCAAGGTTACATTACATTTTAAAACTCTTCAATGCCATCAAAAACAAAAAAGAATGATTGAAGTTGTGTTGCTGAAACATGTTTGATTACACGTATTGTTTTTAAAAGAAACTACGGTCCTGTGTTGGTATGCAGTTTTTTAACCCTATCCAGACCGGGCTTTTTGAGCTGCTAAAAGACTAAGGAGGGGCTCATTCAGCCACCCCACTCTAAAATCGTTGTTCCTTGGCGTATTTTGACAAAAATCACCATAGACATAGCAGAGGCTATGATGTTTAAATTTTTCAAAAAAGATGTCCAAAGATAGAGAAATTACGTCATAATTATTCGAAATATAATGACAAGAGTACACAAAAATGACGTCATAATCAAATTCACGTAAAACACGACTTTTGTAGAGGGGCGGACTGACCGGTTGGGCTACCGGGCGATCGCCGGTGGGCCCTCCCAAAATTATTAAAAAAAAATTTAATTTTGCTATTAAATGGAAACTCGTATTGTTTGATAGGGGCCCTCTTCTGTTGCCATAACACCAAAACTCTCTCAAGATTAGTGGATACAGTATGAATAAAAAGATCACTTTGAGGTATTTAAGTACTGAAAAAGCATTTTCCAAAATTTGGGGCCCCATGTAAACATGGAGAATCCTGGGCCCAGGGCTCACTGTCCCTAATGCAAAAATACGATACTTAACTAGAAGTTCCAGAATCTGATACATTTTCTCTTCAGGCCCCAAGTTTAAATGTTTTCATTAAATCATAGGCTAAGCTGGTAGGGGCAGGACAGTTTTGTGACTCAATTTCTAGGGAGGGCAGGACAGTTTTGTTACTTTAATGCCAACCAAATAGATTTGAGAGTATACCTCAAAACAGCAGAGGGGCTAAACCCCCTCAGCTGTGACAAAATTTTTGCTCCAAAGCAAAGGATCTTGGGCATACAACATCGGTACTTATGCCAAATTTTGATATATTTCTTCGGAAAAATATTGGCATAATTGCGTTGGTGTGGTCTGAATGTGCTAGTTTTTTATTTGAAAATTTGTTGACGTGGTGAAAGCCATGCGAGATTTTATTCCCAACTTATTTGCCGTAATGAACTTTGCAAAATACTAAATAAGTTTTAAATGTCTCCAATTTTCTATAGGTCTAAATTTTGTTTCAGCTGCAAGATGGACACAGAGCATACATCATAAAACACAACAAACACAACAACCAAGTTCCCCCCGATTTAATTTTCTTAAAATTTTTTTAAACGATTTCACACTTCATATAGATAGAAACTAAAAGTAAAAAATCATCGTGCTAGTTGAGTCTAGCAATGTGGAGCACTGCTTGATTAAGTAGGTTGGGGGCTGAATGAGCCCCCCCCCCCCCGTCTGGATAAGGTTAAATTTTCTGGCCATTTTGCTATCAAAAGTTTTTGACATGTTTCTTAAATTTCTTAGGTAATGAATTTTTAAATGTGCTTTCAAGGTAAAGTAAATAGTTCTTTCACAATCAGATATAAACTAAGAAAGTGATCAAGGAATTTTGTTTTCCTAGAATGACTAACTCTGTTGAGATCTGTAAACTGTTAAGCTCATTGAACTGCATCAATGTCAAGTTGAAGTAAAAACAAATGTTTAAAATGAAACTTCTTGAGTGTGCAATTTGCTGAGAATGAATGCAAACTACATGTCAAGTGTAGTGTTGCAATATACAGTGATGTTCAAAGTCAAGACTGTTTCGAGTGTCAACTCGGAAAATTAAAACTGCAAATTATAAAAGTTTCTTAGCTGTTTTCAATTTGGGTAGGGTTGTTTCTTAACTTTCGAAAAATTATGCCTACTGTTTCCTATAACCTGTTTCTTATAAAAAAATGCGTTTATATAAAATAGTTGACATTGACAAATTCAATCGCATACTTTATGACAAGATGAAGTCTGAAGGTTTACAGAACAAGAGATGTGACCAAAAAACTCTTTTAGGGTTTGCTTCCACGCCACTAGTCACTTATCACATTTCTTACAGAATTCCGAACGGCCAGCATGAAAAGAACTTGAAGTTTGAAACAGAAAGAGAAAATATTTTGACTCATTCTCAAAATGAGGCTGTTTGATTGATGTAATGTCCTGGGAACAGCTCGAAGTATTTAACTCTTATTATAGCTAGTCCCAACCTAAAAAAGATTTTCATATCAGGCTGCTTAAGTTTTTTATGCAAGGAAATTTTTAAATTCAGCTGGCTGAATTCTTTTACATAACGCTGTCAAGAAAGCATCAGATTCAAGGATCATGCTGCATCGTAACCAATGATACCCCAGGAAAAAAATATGAATGAATAAATTGTGGAATACTTTTTAAATTCTGAACATTTTTTCACCAGCTAGAGGAGCTTTTTCGGTGAATTTTCGGCGTGCGAATTTTCGGTGAATCTTATCGGCAAATAAAGGTTGTCTCATTCACTTTATTGGCAAATGAGGCCTGAAGACCTATCTAGAGCATATAAGCTAGCAATTGCACTGCTCACCTTAATGATAGAGAACAGAAAAAGAACATCCTAGCCTCAAATTTGGACTTGAATTTACAGGTTCTTACAAAACGGGGGCACGTTTACAGGCTGAAGATTCTTACATATGCATTTCTTGTAAGCGGAGACTTACCCTACCATCATCCAATTTTAAAATACCCCGCTGCATGCGTTTAGCGATGTAAGTTTGCAATATCGTACAATCAGTACTTGCTGCCAGCCAAATTTTGATTCACTCGAGACTTGGTCAATTGGTATTCTACAAATTTTTGCTCGCTGTTTCCTAATGTAAACAAAAGCATCAATTTTTCTTAAGACAGCGAACATTAGGCTAACTCTTTTGACAATTCGGCTTTGAAATGTCATCTCCACGGGAATAAAGGCATTGCCGTGTTTAGTTTCTTCAACATGCTTTAGAACCGTACTTACTGCCTTCTGCATGACCAATGTTTAATACCATAAACAGTACCGTTGCATTTTCATTAAGAATAGATAATATTGAAGAAGTGTACGAAAAAAGATCAGTTTTACTTACCTTTATAACTCCAACCATTATTAACCGTGATATTCGTTAGGCAGCGGGCAACATCAAGTTTTGTTGTCGGCCTCACCATAATAATAAAAAGACGCGAGTTAGATATGCGTTGGCTTGCTGAAATAAACACTTGAGAGATGGCAAAGATATGTAGGTCTAAACTTTGTTTCGGCTGCAAGAAAGGTCGTTACAAACAATAATAAACAAAGAGCATACATCATAAAACACAACAAACACAACAACTTTTAACGATGCAGCGATGGAAGAATGCCATTGTTGGTATTGTGTAACAAAAACGAATTCGTGCATACCTAGCCAAGGGAATGCTTTAAAACAGATCGTGCTATTGTGTTATAAAGAGTGCCATGTTAATTTCATTGCTTAAATTCTACATCTGAATCAGGGGTGCAATATCCGACAATTTCCGCCAATTTTCGACAAAAAGTAGCGAAATTTCCAGGTAATGCTATAATTATTGAAATGCAAAAGGACAGACAATATTTTAAAGGCTTTTTCGATGCAAAATAAAATATTCTACAGTATTTTTGAAAAATGACGGTGTAACTCTTTCTTAAAGTTTTTAAGTAAACCTGTAATGGTTGATCAGAACAGCATACATGTGCTTTTTAGCTTTGTTTTTGGACACTGACTAAAAACTTTAACTTTCAATTTGAGGAACAATGTATTTTCTGACTTCCTTACTACCTTTTGTTCAAACTAAAAGCACAGTTTGATAGCACAAGCACACGGATGCTAAAAGTCAAATTTACTTGTCCTTCACAAAGGATCATTCAGATCACAGTTTCATAAGCCCATCTCAGATATTTTCATTCTTACAAAAATCGATACAATCTTTTTAAAGCAATCTAAACTTGTTTGTTAATCATCAACGGCCCCATTGAAAACATCTTATGATCAAGGTCAACTCTTCGTAAAAAAATTAAACGAATTTTAAAACTATAACTTTGGAGCAATAATCGCCTTTTAAAACAATGAAAATTGCAAAATGGGGGTTTAATGCACGGAAATAAAGAGCTGCCACACATATTTTCAAGGAAAAACCCTAATGGGGAATATTTGAGAATTAGTTGCTTTAAATGAACAAAACTTGAATCTGAAATGTTCACGGCAAATTAACCTTGAGCTTCATTAATTTTTCTTTCAATATTTTTGTATATCCAGAAAGATATCAAAGAAACACATTTCTTTTTTCAAGATTATATTTTCAAAAATCAAGGGCAAAAACAAATTTCTCCCGCGAAATCACTACCAAAAATTAAAGAGCAAAATACCAGTGTAAATGAAAATGAAAACTAAATGAAATATACTAGCGAACCGAAAAGCCAAATTATAAATATATGATAAGGATTTAGCACCTACTACCGAAGATTTCTAAAATGTCTGTGGAATACTTGGTACACTAAAATTTGCAACAAAATACTCTACACTGTCTGAAAATATGTTTAATGTCCACACAATGTGTGTGCCTATCAAATTTCTATGAACAAATAACGATTTTCGCTTAATTAATTTAACAAAATATCCAAATCTATCTACAGAAAATCTTACATTACATCTAAGTTACCTCATCACAAATCTTTAGCAGAACATCTCTGTCTGCTGGTTTTGCAATCTGAAAATACGGATAGGAAATTAGACCAGGCAGGGTCATATCTGGAGGAGGATGAGCAAACAACAGAGTTCCATCGCCATTTTACATGGAATTGAGGAGTCATGCAGAACCCAGGTGACGTAACGTTTGAATAACAGCTGTGCAACGGTGGTGTAAGGTTTTAATGGGGTTGCTGAAACCATCTCATTTGACCTAGAAAGCTCCAGTCGAGCGGTTTTGCACTCCGAATTCCAATTTAATATTACATATGATTAATGAAACGAAAGGTAAATATCTCTTACTTTCTTAAATCATTGAAAAAGTTAAGAGCTCCAAATGAAGGGAAGAGCAAAAATCATTCACCCGTTTATGCATTACCATCCTTTATCAAGATAGTGACATGCAAAGAAGTTATGACTTCGAGAAGACTTGTTTTTGGATTCTGTTGGAATAGAATTCCATGATAGCCATACAACAAAAAGTACCAGGAAATGAGAAGGAAAAAGAGGTATTGATGGGTATTGGTATTGAGAAGTCTATTTGTCAAAAGATCTCATTTTGTAACTTTGCAGTCAAATGGAAGCCCTTAAAGGTCGCTATTGCTTCTGGCGAGGGTTATTGACATCGCAGCTCCAGGCAAATGTATCCGCAGCTTAAAAAGCAGCACGATATTTATATTTCTTAAACTCTTTTCGATATTTGAATTCATTATGCTACTTGCCATTTATGCCAAAAATCGTCAATGGTATCTTTTTCTTTTCTACCATCATTTGTCCTAGTAGGCATTTTTCTGTGACGGCTAACAATGAGCTTGGAAAAATGGAGATGAGGTGGTGCTCTGTTGTGTACCAAATAATAGGTTGCAAATAGGTTCCAATTGGTCGTAAACTAAGATTAAGCCAAAATACGACGACGATAGCAGTACAACATCCTTCTACTTTGTTGACATTAAGCCGTTGGTTTGTTCGGCAAGATTTCAACAAGGAAAGGAAAAAATATCTGTTCTTAAGATAAACACTGTCGGGAATACATTTGAAGCTAAACATGTTTTCAGATGGTGCCCAACTTGTAAGACGGAACTAAGCTGAAATTAGTTTACGACTGCCAACCAAGCCTCGATATTGTATAGTGTCTTCTCTTGTTTATCAAAATGGCGCTTGCTCTTTTACAAGGTTTTCTGTTTCAGAAATTAGAACTTTCGCAATCACGCTCGGAAGGGATCTTGGCAAACACACGTTATATGGAATCAAATTTAACAAAGCTTCTCAAATTTCATTTATTTTGGCAACTAAAACGTTTGATTAATCACAAGAAAACAATCAACAGCACTCTTTTCTGTTTCCATTGCTTCTCGATTTAAACCTTAATCTCGGAAGCATTGGGTGTGCCAGCTAGATTTGCAAATTAGCCTCTACAGCTTACCATACAACCTTTTCTGTATTTTTTGTACATGGCCTCTAACTCGAGAGAGTCTCTCAATCGATTTTTGCAGTTCGGTTCTGATAAAAAATGTAGATTTGTTATTTGTAACTTGAGAATCATATGCAGGCACGACCCGATGACTTCGTGTATTTCCAGACTGCGTAGAGTATAGATAAAATAAGTTGTTGCTGTTTTATTTGCATTTGATTTTCTGTGATAATACAAAAAAGACATTTCGCACATTTTTTGTCATTGGATGAAGCTTCATACCTATGCAAATTCTAAACAACTCTGGAATATAAAGAAATACAAGACTTTTCTGCCAACAGTTTTCTGCAAATCGTGATATTACGCTGGCCCGATGTTGATAAACAAGAAAAGACATCATAAAATATCGGTACTGCTTTGTTGATTGACAGCAGTTCATTAAATGTCAACCTAATGAATTGAGGGCATTGCTAAAATACAGCCTGAAGCAACTACTAGTTTTATGCCCTAATTCCACCTAAGCCACAGGTGGCGAAAAACTAAAACAATCCCGTGTTCTTGCACGTCTTATGCACTACTAAAAAGTTTTTAGCGAATCTGATTGGCTAAAACATGGCTGTCAATCACTAAATCAGCTATCGCGGAAGTCTCTCTTATGAGAAAAACTACAAGATTACTGTTAAAGGCAATCTGTCACGACGTTGATTGATTATAAGAACAAGGGGATTTTTTATTGTTTCCAGTCCCCCTTTAAATTATCGCATTGTAAAAAATATGGCGGAGCGCTGGAATTGTGTTTAGGCTATTGTTTCAGCTATTGTTCTCGTTAACCAATCCACAACGAGACAGATTGCCTTTTAATCTACGTGACAGACGCTGGTGTTTGACTTACAATACATGTTAGCCGTAATGCCCTAATAGTTTAAGTCTGCTATCTCTGACTAGGCCATACTACGTAGGCTCCGAATAAACTGTTGCATCAGCTCTAGGAATGGATTTTATCTCCTTTTACAATGCAGATTTACTCCAGTAGTGATGCTATCTGTCTGACAATGCAGTGTAAGATAAAATGACTTCAAAATGTTTAAATGGCGAGGCTCAAACCTGGATATCTCTTATTGAGAGCTTGTTTCTCTGCTTGTTGCTTGCTATGCTTGTCTCTCTACTTTTAATTGCTTGAGGGGCACAGGAAACTGCAAGAGATTTGCAGTCGGACACAGTCACCATTATTCCAAGCAATGCACCTCCGCACACAAAACTCTTCATCCCTCTTGCACCCCTGTGCTGACCTTTTGCGATTTCCTTGCTTGCGTCTTTTATGTCTGTTTCGCTGGCGTTTCGAGTTGTTACGACGCGGCTTTCGCTTTTTCTTACGTCTCTTCTTATCGCGTCTTAGTTCTCCTATAATAAGAAATTCTATGCATAGACTCGAGAAGTTTATCCAAATTTGAATAATCCTTCCTCTACTATTCTTACACATCTCACAGATTGTACAGGTGGTATTTACAGGCAAAATAGCATCTGTAGCAGAGCAGTCAAATATTGATCGGCTGAAAGATCTTTTCAATTATAATTTCTTCAAAGAGTATTGGTTAATTATTCAGAGAATTCTAATGCTCTCAAGCAAAAATTAGCTCCATTTTAACGCAAACACACTGCGCGCTTCCAGAATGCGAATTTTATTAAGTTCATCCCCATACATTGCTATTTAACCTACACTGGCGAAACTGCGGAATCTTCAGGGGAAAGAGAGAAAAACATGGTGCCATTTTGCAAATCATTGGTAGCAAAGTGCTCAGCAAATGCTCTAGTTTATTTCGGACTCACAGTCATAATCGATTAAACATACCCCAAATGATAGTAAACAAAAATTTGCGACTATCTGGCGAAAAAATTATGAAATTCAGGAAAATCATTATATTTATTAAATAGTTTTTAGATTTAAAACAAAAACAAAAAAGGAACTTTTACGTTGGTTTATTACGCTGGAATATTTTATATCATAAAAATATTCGAATCAAAAACGATCTTTCAGTTGACTGCATTTAATAAAATCTTTCTCTGTTACTTCTCTGCAGAAGCTTCAGTTCCACAAAAGTGAACCTACCTTGAGTGAGCAATGACGCTGGAGAGCTGTCTTTTTGAACGTTGCTTGATCCGCCATCCGCGCTTTTTCCGATGACGTAAAACCCGTGTAAACAACTATCTTCCAGTTTGCTTCGCGCAAATATTCGGCGATGTTTCACTTCCTAAAATTGTTAAAATCTATAGAAATTTAAACACTGCGGATAATGAATGCATACGCATTGCAGAATGGTTTCTTTTCAATATGGAGATTTAATCTGCAAGGAACGGAAACCAAACTGGAATGAAAGTTTCGTGGACATCTTATGCAAAATTCGTTCTAACAAATATGAAAAGATGTGAACAGAAACATAACTAAAACGGAGACTTGAAGGACAGCATAACTAGTACAAACTACTATATAACGAATATAGCAGGAAGTAGTCAGTTAAGAAAAGAAATGAGACCTAAGTAGAAACTTGCAAGTCAGCATTGCTTTTGCAGAATTTTTTCCTTTGAATTTGGCAAAATGTAGTCTATAAGGAACAGAAATGCAACTAGAATGGAGTCTTGAACAACAGCAGAACTAAAGCAACATTTTCTCTAACGAATAACGCAACATGAATTCATTAAAGAACCGAAATTGAACTAATGGATCAATGAAAAACAGCATTGATTGTGCAGACTATTTTCTTTCGAACACAAACGACAAATAGAATGACAATATTAACATAAACGACAAATAAAATTACGATGTCAACACAAATGACAAATACAACGAAGCTATAAACACAAACAGTAAAAAGAATGACATTATGACACTATCAACACAAACAACAAATAGAATTACACTGTCAACACAAACGGTATATACAGCGAAGCAATCAACATAAACAACAAATAAAATTACAATGTCAACACAAATGACAAATACAACGAAGCTATAAACACAAACGACAAAAATAATGATATTATGACATTATCAACACAAATGAAAAATAAAATGACACTTTCGACACAAACAACAATGCCAAATGCATAGCTAAAATGAAATGCACTTCAATGAAAAGTTGGAGTACCAAATCAAGGATTGGAGATAATGTTGATGATAATTATCTATTGGAACGGGCTTAAGTATTTACCGTATATGTATATGTTGTATTTTACAATGTATGTATTATTATAATCTAGTATATGTATATGTAGTATTATAGTTGTACTATTAGTTATGTTTAGATACATGTCATATCCCAGGAGGCAGTCATCTTATATTGCTCCTCCTGGGTTCCGTCCTTGTAATGTAGTTTAGTAGTTCGTAGGTACTGTTTTAGGTAATTTGTTGTTGTAAGTTTTCATACCGAATATATATATATAAAAAAAAATTAAATACAATTGGAGCACAGTTGAAGTCATTGAATATTAAACAATCTAAAATAAACTGCATTGATGTCTTTAGATGCAGGATTTGCTGAACATGTAGGTTTTACTGTACTAATTTTACAAGCATTATTGGATCAAAATAATAAATGTGAAACAATGATACATACACTGAATGGTGCTGGTTTTTTGCCCTAGAAAAAAGAAGATTGATTTTTCTTAGGCATAAAGCAATAAAAAGGTTTATAAAGGCCAGCAAGACATGTCTGTGAAAAAGACATTATGGTCTATCCTCAGAAATCGCACACAATAAAATATAGGATAAACTCCCTGAGATTTAGGGGGTGGGGGCTATGCTGTTGGATACCCTAAATCAGCCATTCTTGAACTCCGGCCCGCAGCAAAATTTCATTCGGCCCACCGAATGCTTTTCACCTCGAAAATATTTTTTGCAAACATTTGGAATTCTATTTGTCTTTGGTTTCTTTTGTCCTCTTTGATATTTTTCTTTTTCTCTGTAGTATATTTCAAATGCGTTCCGTGGACAGTTACTGGTCCCTCAGTTATTTAGAGAGTACCGAAATAGGAAATGCTTTATTTAAACGATTGATCATTTTATAGCGTTTAATTAACTGTTTTTTAATTCATTTCTTTTCTCCATCTTACACGCTGTTATGCTAAGATTATTCTAAAACCTTGCAAGACTTTCCTTTTTCATGTCAACAGATAAAACTGTGGAACCTAGTTATGAAAACCATAAGAATATGGCCTTGAATTTTCTCTATCTACCTTAATCTTAATCTATTTGAGGTGCTGTTTCTGGCCATTCCTAGATTAATATAACCTAAAATTTTTCTTGCCGCCAACCATGGTGGCGGCCTTTATAAAATTCATCCACAAACATAAGATTTTGGCCTTTTTTCAAAAATACGCTGTGCAGTCCCTCGGCCTGACTTCAGGCGCTTCAAATCGACCCAGCAAGAGACTGACGAAGATCAACGTTCTAGCCTAAAAATAGCATAGAACAATTTTCTGACTCAGCCTGGTACAAGAAACATAAAGTTACAAAACCTTTGTGAAAAACTATTTTTTGGGTTTATGCTAAGGTAGATAAGATAGGCAGGCACGAAATAATAGGCATGCCTATCTTATCACTAACTTAGCCAGGTTAAAATGAGATCTGAGTTTCATTTTGAGCAGCCTTAACACAAGGTATGTAAAAGTTGAAAACCAAGTGTCCCGAGAAGAAAATCTGTATGTTTTTCTGGCCCGGCACTTAAAATAATTACGAACCCCTGTCCTAAATGATGAAACAAAGAGCCTAGAGTCTGTTGGAGCTTTTAAAAAGGAAATTAATACTTGGGATGAAGCCAATTGCCCATGTACAATTTGTAAATAGACTTTCGTATTCCTGTTATTAGTAATTGATATATATATTTATTTAGGTTTAATGTAAATAGTTGATGTAAATTTGTCATTTTCAAGAACATTATAAGTACCAAATAAATTGATGATGATGTTGATGATTATTATTTATTGGAACACAGGGTATGGGATTTTGAAAAAATGATGACGTCAATATAAACAGAGAATAGGCACTTTACAGCTCAAGCCGTATTTCTGACTGCCGTTTGTAAATAGATTGATGATTGTTTTTTCTTGTTAAATGATAAGAAATGACCCATTTGGATCTTCTTGCTTTTCAAGATTAGATTTTCAAGGGAACTTTCTGAAAATGCGGAAAATATTATCTGTGTGAGCTTGAAGCAACACAATGTTTTATGAGAAATTAATTTCAAATGATTCAATTTTCACCTGTAAATAATATACAAAAAGCTTGTATCCCGTTTATGTTTAACGTAAAGTGGCGGAATAAACATACAAAAAACACATATCCATAAACAGGTTGCCAGAAACCTTGAAAGAAATTTTTTTGCAATTTCAAAGAAACTTGTAAGATTACGTTTCTTGAATTGGCCTAAAATGCTCGGCTCCTTTATCCTTTATAGCTCCTCTATGCATCAATGCACACTAGATGAAGTCATTTCGAAAACTTTTATAAAATATGAATGTCTTGGAAAAAATAAAAATTAAGAGACATAATAAAGATTCACGTCTGACTCTTCTTAGAATGTAATAAACGTAAAATAACGTAGAATGGTCATAAAAAAGTTAAAAATATCTATGCTCAGTTTTGGATCGAAATATGCCAATCAAAAACAAGAACACGTGACATGTAAGTTTACCCAATCAGTGCCAAGTGCCTAATTGGCATATAACCACTGGATTCCAAGAGTGAACATAAACTCATGCTGTCAACACAAAGCCGCTTATGCAGTGTATGCTCGAAATAGTCGCTTTAAATCATGCATTGGAAGATAAATTAGTGACAAAAAAATTATTGGCTAAAACCCAATGCCAGAAAATCTCAACACTTCAAAGGCCCGTGAATAAAATTAAAGTTATAAAGTGTCATCCGTTACAGAAACAAATAAAATATGAAAAAAGAAAACGAAAGTTTTTTCAACCTCTACCTGGTACTCCTTAACCAACTTTGACCAGAGAACTGTATTTGGTGCACCGAAATCTTTCTTTGTTATCACCTTGGTCTTCGTTATAAAACAAATGCTGTAAGAACTGCATGATTCAAGTCGGAAGAAGGCGACGTTCTGAAAAGAAAACTTGACTTAAAAATAGATCAATGCTGGCTGGTATTGCATAAGGGGACAAATATTAAAGTACATACTCCAAATGCACAAATGGTGTGTATAAAAGGTTTAGTTTTTTGTAATCATAAAATAATAGAAAATATTAAATAGTAAAGATACAACTTGTTTAGGTTGTGATTGACCCCAAATAAAAGCACGCTACTGACTTTATTCAAGAAATAGGCATTACAACATAGAACCTAGGGCTAGATACCGAGTTTTTACGTCACACATACAAACCAAGGGTTGGACTGCCTGGGTGAAGCCACGGTAAATAATCTGTGTCATGCCAGGAAGTCCTTTGCTTCGGTTACATAAAAAAATAGTGCCTTATCTTAAATTTTCTTTAGAGAAAATGACCATTAATGGAAGCTCTCCAACAACAGGCACTTATTAAGCAACAGAGACAAAACTTTGTTTGAAAATTGTTGCTATGTTGTCATGACATACTACTAAAGACCTTCATTTTAGGACTATTTTCAACGGGCAACACTCTTTAACTGCGCTCTTACAGTGTCTGGAAAAAGAAGGGACAGAAATATATGGGGTGCCAAATGGCCCAAAATTTCAAGATGGGATAGAATCTTATGAAGACTTTAAAATATCATTAAGAGTTGGATATATCATCAAGATTAGGATATATCTCTCTTTACAACAAAAATTCTTCACAAGATAGCATATATTAATTTCTTCATGACATTACTAGTATTTTCACCAAAATATTTGCACAACTTCTTGATGAGATTTTCGCTGATCGCTTGATGAGATTTTCAAACTGAATTTTGTCCCAATTGGCATGTTCACAGAATGGTCTGCAAATTGTAAGCCCGCAACATGCAAACGAGGCCTTTGCTCAAAGGAAACCAAAGGATGGCGTTGGTGTTGCTAGAAATCGTGGGTGCGATGCAATCTGGTGCGTTTTTGTTTGAAGACCTGAGAAGACTTTGTTTCACGCACATCAAGAAGTTGTGCAAATATTCTGGTAAAGATACTAGGAATGTCATGAAGAAACGAATATATGCTATCTTGTGAAGAATTTTCGTTGTGAAAAGAGACATATCGAACTCTTGATGATATTTTAAAGTCTTGATGATATTTTAAAGTCTTCATAAGATTCTTTCCCGTCTTAAAATTTTGGCCCATTTGGCACCCCATGAAAAGAGCTTCAAGTGTACGTTTTTAAACAACATTGGGCGGCAATTTTCAATTAAAGGCATTTGACACAAGTAAAAGTGGCTTACAGCCACTCAACCACGAGCGGTTGACCAGTCGAATTGCGCACAGAAAAAAACATGTGAATAGTTTCCGCCTTTCTGCAAATCGGTGAAATCCTAGAGCAGCGCGCAGTGGTTTCGCGTGAGCGGTTTCCAATTCCTTTCTTGTGCGCGTGCTCTGATCATTATGGATTCGCTGTATATATGCATGTCAAATGCCTTTAAAGCTAGATTTGTTGGAAAAATGTATTTTGACGTGAAAACCCCGTGTTATTTCAACTGGAAACAAAGGAAATCAGGAAGGCAAACATTTCCAAATCTGAGGGTAGACTTTTAGGCCTATATCTTATTGCGAATCTCGATTCGGAAAGATGCTATAACATTCCCGTATGCCGCTTGTGATCATAGTCAGTTTCCTAATCATGTGTCAAAAATAAAAGTTTGGTTTTCATTCACAGGAAAAACATGTGTGGTAGGTATCTTTTCCCTCAAAATAAAAAGGCACACTGAAGGGAGGGGGGGGGGGCGGGCAGCAAATTGCTCCAAGGCCTAGTGGTCTAAACGGTCTCTTAAAGCATCGAGTTTAATCTTAAGAATTGAATTAACGGAGCGTGACAAAATTATGCCTCAAAAACATTAAACTCTTTAAACGATTGCAAGAAAATGACTGCAAAAAATATTCTGAAATGTATTCAGAAGGGCGTGGTCGTGACAATTGTCGCTTGATGCGCTCGTAGGGGGCCTCCCCTTTCCGCTTCGCCCCAGGACTTCCAAAACCAGGTCCGGCAAAAACATACACGTTAAGAACCCTCTCAGTAAACAGCATAGGTGTTTGATACATGTGCTAAGATCGTGAGCAATATAGCCGTCTTAGACAAGTGCACTTGATACTCTCAAGCTCCTTATCTAGTGATTATCATCAATGCCTTTCTCTCCTAACAGATCTTGGGCTGCGGTTAGAAGTCATCTATCCCCACTAAGTTATACTTCTTGCCGAGAGCTAAAGAACTGAATCCATGGCAAAGCCTTCACTATTAATGTCTCAGTTACGACAACTAATTCTCAAATCTCAAGAAATGATATGCTTTGATCGTCTGATATACCGCTTAGTTTAGCTTTTTGCAAGATTATCGCTATCTGCGATAAAGAGGCGATGATTGCAGTTGTCAGTTGACAACTTACCAGACTGTTCGCGCGCGATTTCGGAAATTCCAAATTTGCTAGCATCAACCATATTATGTTACTACAAAGCAGAGGATGTATTACAGTTGACATTCGCTATCTTGGAAAACTACCATTTCAAGCATTTGTATTTATACCTATGCAAAGAGGTGCATTTGTTAGCCTCTGGGCTTAAAATGCAACTTTGCAGTCACTCTCTGCATGATCAGAAGAAAGATTTTGGTATACCGTAATTCCTCTATAGAACGTTTATCACAAAATTCAACTTTTTGATGCCGCGTTTAATACACGGTGGCGTTTATCAGAGAGTGGCGTGTATCAGAGGGCGGCGTTTATCAGAGGGTGGCGTTGATCAGAGGGTGGCGTTGATCAGAGGGCGACGTTGATCAGAGGGTGGCGTTGATCAGAGGGTGGCGTGTATCAGAGGGCGGCGTTGATCAGAGGGTGGCGTTGATCAGAGGGCGACGTTTTATACAAAATGAAAAGTATGCCCAGGAAAAAATGACAAGTGCCATAAAAAAGATAACAATAGACTTTGAACAATGTTTTCTTTTCCCAAAAACATATAAAAAATATTGTGTGAAAAAATATTTTTAATTTCACAAAAGATGTGTTCACGTTATGGAAATGTCCGTCAGAGTCCTCGTCTATGAAAAGAAGACTCCCATAGCTTTGGAATAGAAAGCATATGAACTATTCGCTATTTCTTGGTTGATGTGTTTTCTAATGAACACCACTTGTGAAGATGCGGCGCTTAAAGGAGGGCGGTGTTTATCAGAGAACGGCGTTCATTAGAGGAAAAACGAGACCACGTTGTCCAAAAACATTTTACAACAAGACATACAGTAGTTCAGAAACGGAGAAGCTTTAAATACGTCCCTACGAGAAACACATTGTGGAAAATGGTGTCCTTCTGTCAGTATGAAACTCAAAGCATCACACACTGTTAAATACAGCCAAGTGTGGAACACACACCAAGGACTGGCGACTAGACAAAGCTTGGAAAACTGACCCTGGAAAACCGCTATCTCCCAGACAGTAAGTAACTCTTAGTGTTAGACTTAACCCTAAACATAATGACCATTACATGCGAACAAAAACGTAAAGGAGAATGTATCGAAATATCAGAAACTGAATTTCAAGAAAAGGAAATTCTGGAGAACAAATCAAACAATCCAAAGCCAGGCAACAAATCATGGCTAGTATAAACAAAAGTAAAATTTCAGTGGCTAAATTTCAGTGGCTAAATTTCAGTGGCTAAATTTCAGTGGCTAAATTTCAGTGACTAAATTTCAGTGACTAGTGACTATTTCTGATACATTAACAGCAGACCTACGACCCCTCCACTGACATCAGTTTTGCGGAAAGCAAACATTCAACCATAGAATAAGCAGAATAAGTATAAACAGCGAAGCTAACTTAAAACACGGCAACTTGTTAAGTTACGTCGCTCTCCATTGCAACAAAAAATCTTCCACATTCTTATTTGATACGCGTGGCTATCGTTTCGATGCAATTTGCAAAAGGATATTAAGCCAGGTAAAGACTGGAAGCGACTGAGTGCACAAGATGAAATTTAGTCTGGTAACATATTGTCCTTTTCAAAACGAGAGTCGACAATGAGAGTGACTGTGAATATACTCCGTTTTGGTTGTCGTTGTCGTCGTTGTTGTTGTTACTGTTGTCACCGTATGTGTTGTTGTTGCTACGTCATTGTCGCCTGAGAACACTGGAAGGTGAACCAGAGCTGTTGAAAATGAACCAATGCTATTTCTATGTTTTATTTTTCGATGTGCTTTATTAATTATTATTGGCAGAAGTACCTCGACATCATCATACTAAAACTTTAGGCCTCTCGTATAGCTGGCCTTCTGATAACGGTAAATATTTCCACCAAGAGGGAATGGAGTCCAATCTTACGCAATAATTCTGGCCTTCGAGGGACGTTTCTATATTAAAATTTCACGTAATAAAAGCCAATTTATGCATAATGCACTGCAGTGAAACGACACCAACCAGCCACAACAGAAATACAAGTGAACTGCATATAAGATTTTAGTATAAGGCCTAACTTGTCATGTCCAAACTAATCATGGTGGCCTAACTTCTTCATGTGAGGTTTTCAATAACACAGTAATCTTAACCAAATATCACAGTAGACGGGTCTGTACGCCATCACGTAGTTATTCTTATACAAACCATTTTGTTGACTGCGATGAATGCCACCCATCATAACAGAGAGCAATTTACACTGGCTTGACCTGATCAGACACTGTGCAAACATTTCTCTGTTGTTTTGAGGATTTCCTTAAACTTTTGTGGAGGAAATACCAACATGTTTTGCAAATGGTAACTTACACAGGAAGAATTTTTCTTTGTTTTTAAATTTTTCGTATTCACTTGTCAGATTACTTGCATAGTTCAGTATGAGCTATGGATGCTGTTAGCTATGCCCAAAGGCATCATCTGTAATTCAAGCATTGCTTTAGACACTGATCACTTCAAAACTCATTTCCAATCTCTATGAATAACTTTGAAGAACAACTATGCTAGGATGAACAGTCAGTAAAGATCGATCAATAACACTAGAGTCAGGATAACACTAGAACTAGAAATAGCTCTTGCTAGTACTGCCCGCAAACAATTAGTTCCTTGATAATGATTGTTTTGAAAATGTAGGTCAGGATATTCGAAGAAGACACCATCTTGGGTTTTCACAATTCTATAAAAACAGCTGCTCTAGTTGATGCTAAACTATTCTTTTTATCAAGAATTTTTGGTGTTCAGTTTGCCTTTGATTTAAGTCCAACGCCCTTTTGAAAATCATGAAGTTTTTCGAGGGTTTGACATTTATTTTTCGATAATCAAGACAATCATAACTTTTGCTCGTACGGTCTCGAGTTTTTGGGAGAAAAGTGTGGCATTCGATTGGTTTTGATTCCCAAAACTTCGAATCAAAACTTCCATCCATTGCGGAGAACAGAGCTGTGATACAGCACCGTTTTCGTGCCAACAATCATAACTTTTGCTCGTACGGTCTCGAGTTTTTGGGAGAAAAGTGTGGCATTCGACTGGTTTTGATTCCCAAAACTTCGAATCAAAACTTCCATCCATTGCGGAGAACAGAGCTGTGATGCAGCACCGTTTTCGTGCCAAAAAACCGAAGGCCTTTAACAGAGTCTTGGCAGAGCAACGCTCCGAAGATAATTCCCTTCCGCACAAAGAGGTGGCGGTTAACGACCTCCTCGACAAAGCCGATTGATTGACAATGAAATTGATTGACAGTTGTCATGGCAGCAGAAAAGTGACAAAATCTGCTGAAAAAGTGCTGACAACATGAACTGAAGCTTCCATATGCTACTTATACGCGGGGCAGACTATAAGCCCTTCACTCGCGCGCTATCGCGCGCGAGTTGCGGGCAATAACTCTAGAGACCGCTACATTGCTAAAATCTTTCGGTTCAGAAACTATGCTTCACTACTTTCTTTTATCAGTGTTTATGGGGAATAATATCAAGAGTATTTTTCTTATAATTTCAGCAATAGATCTCTTGGTTTCTTTGTGTCGCATACCAAAGTTGATCATTGCTACATTACTGATTATATGCGCTGCTAGCGGATCTTGAAATTCCTGGATTCAGAACATGCTTTGCTCCTTCGTCGTTTTTTGGTTGGTTAAACATAAAATGAAACACCATACGAGAATGGACGAGGGTTAGCCCAGAGTCACTTTTCCTTCTTCTCAATAGATGCTCCTCCGCTTCTCCGCTCCTCCGCTTCTCCGCTCCTCCGCTTCTCCGCTTCTCCGCTCCTCCGCTCCTCCGCTTCTCCGCTCATATCTTCCCTTTCCTCGCTCCAAATTTTGTTGCACTGATACCCATGGTAGGTTGGAGGGGACCAGGGGAATCAGGTGATTAACTCCTACAAAGATTGGCCCTGTGTAACACTCGATGAGCACCATTGCCAAACTTTTGATAATATGTCACTATGTGCAACCTTAGACTTGGTTGATGACCTGCGGCAAAAGTGATACCTAGCCAACAGCCAAGTTGATCTTTCTGCCATCACCAATTCGAGTGGCGGTTTCATCACCGAGGAATCTTTACACCATCACATTCTTGGGCGCATTCCTTTTGAAAATTATCTGGGCAATTGACTAATAAATTAAACTGATTTTATCTTATAAAACCAGCGAAGATGGTAGCTTCAGATTGATGACATTGAAGTGTAGATTGTGGAATTATTAGGTAAGAAACTAGTGGAAACAGATAGGCTTTCAACTATTTTTGGTGAATTTTTGACGTCATATAGCACCGCGAGGCCAACTGCAATGTCTGGTAATTTTAACCTTACTTAGGCCATATTATAGCGCTTGAAAGACCCAAACCTTCACGACGTCATTAGTAAAATGCTTGAAAGCCATGCATGTCATTTAGTAAAAGGATTGTTTGTTGTCGTCTGTGTTATCGTTAGTTGATGGGAAAAGTATTGGCAGTTTGAGCAAATTATATTTGTTGAAGTGACGAACCACCATTTGTCCGAAGGTCCAGTTGCTTTCAAAATTCTGCATCGCACGCACATGCGCAGTAGTAATAAAAAATATATAATATTGCATTGCTAAGTCTGTTCTGAAGTAGGAACATTACTCTGGTTTATATGATCCAACTATGGTACAAAAAATTCGATCATATCGTTTTGAAGCGCGACGGGCTTTGGTTTGGAAAAACGGATAGAATAAAGGCTATGAAAATGGGAATCTAGACTCGTCTCCTTAACAACAAGAAACAACTAGTTCATATTCTATGACTTGTGCTCTAAAACGTAACAACATGCCGTAAACCATGGGACACTATCTCTAGTTCTAAAAGAACACCTAAAGTACATTTTGCACCTCTGACCCGTATAGAGTACTCTTGTGAAGCAGGAAAAAGCTTCTAATAAACAAACGGGAGTAATCAATTCATCGGGGATTTAAAAGACAAAGGCGGCCATCTTTGGGTTGATCTTTCGTCTTAGTCATGGAGATGCTAATGCTTCATATCAAATGGATGGAATCCCTCTGACCGTGTGTAACCCAGGAAGGCTGTATCAATTTACAGACAGATTTTCACGACTTTTAGCTTGGTACATTCTTTCATACTGCAACCAACGCAAGTTCTGTGCAACTGTTCCTAAACTAAAGAGGCCAACAATGTAAAGAAGTCTCCTCCTACCCCTTCTTGTCCTAATTGTGGCAAATATTTTGATGGCGTTGTTTTACATGTGGACTTTGGCTCAATGTATTTGTTGCAGGTTAAATGTTTATCTGAATTGATTATCTGAGCCGATTATAACCTTTCATTCAGTGAAAAAAAGGAAAGGCAATGCCCTCATGGAATTACCCACCCCACCCCCACCCTTTGACGCTGGTCCTGCAACTGCTATCGACGAAATGACAAATCGTTGTTAGAATGACATAAGCTAGGTCGTTCGATTTTCGTATAACGTTGTAATTAAATGTAAAAGCTGATAGATTTAACGGTCAAATGTCGATCAAGAAATCTAGGAGATAATCAATGTTTGGCTATTACTGGGGAATCAAGATTTGGTTTAAAACTACCATTAAAGATCTCATATAATGCAGAGCATTGTTGGTTAGTTTTATATCAACTTGAAAATAGTCTAAACATGTCTCATATTGAATAATGACTCTTTCTTCTTGCATAATTTTCCTAAATAGTTTAAACATGTCTCATATATTAATAAATAATGACTCTTTCTTCTTGCATAATATTGCTAACGTCAATAACCTTAATAATGAACTGAAAAGTTAACAGAACGTTAACATTGGTCGTTGGCAGGGCCATAGTCACAATTGTTCTTTAGGGGAGGGGGCTACGGGGGCTTTAGCCCGCCTCCCAATAATTTCTTAAATGTACTTAAAACCGTACAAAAAGTCGTCATGCTCTAGGTCATTAGCACATTTAGCCATCCCCCACCCCTCCCCCCTCTCCAAAAAAGTTAACTTTTGCAATCAAAGCCTCGGTACACGTGATGTATCAGGAATGGATTGTGCTGTCGGTCCCTAGACAATGTTGTTCGAAGCAAGGTATGTCCTCGAAAAGAATGACACGGTCTTAGATAGAGTACACAGAATATTGTTTGAATATCGAAAGTGGAAAATAAGACTTTTAAACATATATATCCCAGAATGATTTTGACGAAACATTATCTTCAGACTGATGACATTTTAAGATTGGAGCATCGCATATTACCCAATTCCAACCATATTCCTCTATGACTCGTCAATGACTGAAAAATGACGTTATCCATTAACACTTGCAAGTAGTCTGATGTTTCAGTTTATATTTCTAGCCTTTCCATTAACACTATTTACCACAGTGAAATCCGATGTGGGCCTATCATTCAAATGTCAGCTGAACTTTTGCCTGGACGGCAGATGAACTGAGAGAGGTTTGAAATTCCTTTACCAAGACGACACATTGAGAAACTGATAGCTACCATCCACGTTGGCACAAATGCTTTTGCAGACAGCTTCATTCCTCAACCAGTTCCTCGTAGGGGAATCTATTTATCGTCTAGCAAGGGAAAGTTTTATGAAAAGGAATCACATGAATCCAAGATTCCACAAAAAAACCTAAAAACTGGGGTTGATATTCACGAAACTTTTCTTATAGTGAATACAACCCCACGAAGCACATGGTTAACTAAATTCTGTCTTCCAAATGTGACGGTTTTTCCTTCAAAAGACGAAGATATTTATACTTTAGAAACAAAAATACTTGACTTTAAAATATTTGGATTTTCGTCCAAGTTTCAACCTTGAAAAGATAAAAATTTGGTTCTCGAATAACGAAGCGTTTTGACTGCCATATTTACTTGATACCTGCTTGTAAACGATGCTAATCTTTGAGAAACAAAGAACAGAAACACTTCTTCCAAAACGTTAAGAAGGGCACAGCTCTCGTGATTTCCCAAGCAAGTTTAAAAAATAATTAAACCAGATGGATGCAAGGAACTCTCAACGAAAGAGGTTGAGAGTAAATGCTACACAAAGAAACGAAACTCAGCTTGTGTTAGTACAAAGAAAACGATGAAATTGGCAATTCCTCTGTTGAATATTTTGGTTTTGAAAAATAATAGCTATAGGTGTGTGAAAGCACTCGATTGAAAACATAAAGAGAAAAAAGAAAGAGATAAACTTCGCTGAAATGAATGGGTACAAAAGTTTACTTTGGGCCTTGTTGAAAAGCGAATTGTCCTGCTTTCATAACAAATAGATCGCTCTCTTGATGAACATCAAAATATCTCCTAAATATATAAGAATAAGTTGCAAATGGCACACAATGCCCAAGGGACAGAACTTTAACCAAACTTGCTTCTCGTTTGACTGACATTTTCCATTTTGAATTGAGGCGTTCCGAAGGAGGGGTGAAGACCTTAACAGCAAATTGTCTGCCCGCGTAAGAAAAGAAAGTCTTACTTATCCCTCGATTAACGCTTGACATTATGAATCCATTGGTGTTCTGATTAGCTCAAACATGGATATAAAAGCGACAGTACGTTTTAACATGGCTTATGTAAAGTAAAGCCTATTGATTTTTATATTTATATCCAGACTTGCCTTGAATCGGCATATTCAAAACTTAATTTGTTTTACACTTCTTTTTTATAAGAAAATTTTTATAAAAGTACGAACCGCAAAATTGGTAAAAAATTGAGAGCAAATTGGAGCAAGCTGGGGCTAAGCTGCTGTTTAATGTAATTTTGAAAAAATTTGTCTAAAAAAATTTCACGTGCGTCTTCGGTGAATTTTCAAACACAAATTGTCACTGTGTTCGCAAATGAGGTCTGAACACCCTCTACAGCACAAACGCTAGCAATTGCACTGCTTACAACATAATGTTTTAAGAACAAATTAAGAACATTCCAGCATCAATTGTTTTGAAAAAATTAAGAGCAGCAAGTTTGAACTTCAATTCACCGTTTCTTATAAAAAAGGATGTAGTAGAAGTGCATTCTTGTCACTTGTTCCACCAGAATAACAGCAACGGAACGTAGGTGGGCTACACAAAAGTATGAATTAACGACGTGACATTTTGCAGTGATATAAACTTCTTAAATTTAAAATTTCTACCCTTCTCCAATGTGCTTCCCTCTCCAAATCCGAAGTTTAAGGCGCGGCCCTCTAGAAATACAAACCTACTAAAGAACTCTGCAATTTCTCAATTCCGTCACACGCCTCATAGCGGCGAAGAGAGAAATAAGAGGAAAAGAATCCAAGCAGTAATGTAGAAAAAGATGACGAAGAAGTGCAAGAGATTATAATTGTTGCAGCCCATTGGAATATGGAGCAAACATTTTGAATTATTTCGCATTTAAGCTTCAGGGAACTAAACCTCATAAAAATGTATGTCGAAAAAGACTGATGTCCCAAAACAGCGTTCGGGGATATTGTTTCAGCATCTATCAGGAAGATGCTATTAAAAAGGTGTGCCAAGGGCACTAATGGAAAAGTCAGAAAGAACATTTCTAGTCATCAGAAAAAGTGTATTTTAAATAATTTCTAGACTTAAATCGGTTAGAAGTTACCCACTTAGACACGAAATAAGACCTCCAAACAAAAAGTACTCAAACATATTCGCTTGAAGTCACGTTTTTTGTGGCCTAAATTGAAAGGAAAATATTCAGGGCGACGAGAACGATTTCCCGTGTTTGTTCAAGGATTTTATTGGTGCCAAGCCCAAGTAAATAAATGAAAACCACAAAAATCCATCAAATGGGTAATTCGTAACGTCTCAACTAGTTCTATCGCATGATTTCTGAATGCATTATTACGATTTTTAGACATGTCTAGAATTATCACGTAGTGAACAAGGCTATCATGTAGGACCTCGTTTTTACTCACTTCAAGACCCCCCTCCTCGTCTATCATAAACAAACCGTTAACAAACCACGAAGGCAGACCATTAGGGAAATGCATTGAGGTGCCAACGAAGGTATGGGGGAAGAGATATGTCAGTGCAATGCAAAGGGAAAGACAGTGATATACCCCCCCCCCCCTCCCTCTCAAGTAAGTAATTTTGCATGATACTGGGTACTTAGTAAACCGTACAAGAACTGCTCATTGTCTTGACCTCCTTTAAAACAACTAAGAGAAGCACATAACACTTTCTGATACACTCTTTTTGTATAAGAACACGAGCCTCAAAATTGGTCAAAAGCTAAGAACAAATTAAGAACAAGCTGAGGCTGAGCTTCTGCAAAATACAATTTTGAACAAGCAAAAAATTTCTCAAAATCGAGGATTTTTAGCCATATGTGGGTGCTTTTTGAGTGAATATTCAAACCTATCGGCAAATGAAGGCTGCCTCACTGGCAAATGAGTTCTGACTAACTCCCTAGAGCAAAAAAGCTAGCACTCACACTGCTTACACCCTATTAAATAAAGAACAAATTAAGAACAATCTAGCCTCAGATTTTCGAAAAAATTATAAACAGTCAGCCTGAACTTAAGTTTACTGGTTCTTAAAAAAAAGAGTCTAGCTTCAGTGCATCATCATTCGCAAAAATTTTTTGGCATAATAGGGATCCGTTCCTTATGGCCGGTTTCTTATGAAAATGAGTGCAGTTACGGTAGGGCATGGTCTTGGTGCTTTCAGTTTTAACAGGCACCAGCAAAAAGATCGTATTGAGACATAAAAAGATCGCAGAGACGTCTTCTAAATGACAAATTCTACTTTCTTTTGCATACCTGAAGAGCCTATGTGGGTTGACAGTGGAAATCAAGGCATGTGGATCGGAGCTGCTATCTCGGGAGAGGAAGCCCTTACACTCTTTGTTTGTCAAAGTTGTTTTAAACAGGACGCAAAGCGGATTATATTTAGAATCCCTATTGATTGCTGGGTTATTTCCAGCCCTCGATCTTTCATCATGGATGACAAAGACCTTGGCCAAATTTTTCAATTATTTGTTTTTACTTAGAATACCCAGTTTCCAAAGCAAAACCGTATATGATGAAGAAATCTTGCCTGGTTAGACTTGCCAGGTTCCCGAATACTAGGTTAATTCCCTTCTCTAAACAAAATTTTGCATTTTTCGTAAACTGGCAAGAAAAATAGCGAATACGCCTCCCCAGCGACAACAAACAGTACAAAAAACAGGGCTCCCCGAACATAGTTACTGAGTTGCTATTGTTCTTTTCAACTAAAAGTTCCGACATTCTTTCGATACTGAAACCGTTTACATTGATAATTAGGTTTGTTTAGATTGTACAGACATTCCCACGTATATTGGCCCACGTTTGCTCACGAGCCTGGTTTGTATAGACCCATAAAAATAAGTATATGAACTTCGAGTGGATCGGCTGAGGCATTTAAAAATGGCTAAACAGCTGTAGCTTAATATGTAAAAAGGTTTACGAAGGAATCAGGGTATCTTTAGCCATCAAACCTGAATGGCGCTATAATGCCTCTCTTGAATATGACAAATTTCATTTGAGAATGCTTTTAAGATATTGAAAGCCAGGACGTTGTGGGCTCTCGTATGAAATTATGTGGCGCGAAAAAGCCTATACTTGATGATTGTGATTCTGCTATACAAAAAAAACCTATACAAAAAATAAAAAAGGCTAATGAAAATGAAAAAATTAGATTTTCATGCTTTTTTCATCTAAATTTACGCGTAGGATTATATGGATGTGCTTAAGATAAGATCTTTGAGAGCTCCGCAGTTCTGAGAATTTCGCCGGTGGATCTTTGCTTAATGGCGTATAAAGATAGATGGCTTCAATACTTTTAGTACTTTTAATGTTCTAGTTTACCTGAAATACATTCTATTCGGTGTAAACTCATTTTGGCATTTGAATTCAATAATACTCATAAAATGCATACTTTTTAGCAACACATTAACAGTTTTCATTTATAAGCCCACCAGCGAGACAGCTCCGCACTAGTTTTAGGCCCTGCAATATTGACTTATATCTGTTTTGTCCCGATGTAAATATTCACGAAAGATGGCTTAGGTGTCTCTAACATTAGCAAGCAATATTTCATTTCTGAGGGTCAAATTTTGAGAACATGCACGCCATGGGTCGACTGACATCTTTGGAAAATCTTTGAGATGGCGTGCAACAACAATTAGAGTAATTATTCAAGGTGCTTGGAACAAGTATCTCAATATCCAATATCCGTTTCTGGGCAAAGAACTCTCGGTTGTGTTACAGTCAAAAGAGGATCATCCAAGTCACAATGATTGGAAATTTTTTAATGGCTTAAAGAAACATTCCTGACGCTCTATTGAGGCACCGCAAAAAAACGACAAAAACAGCTCACCTTAAAAGTAAGATTTTTTAATGCTGAGAGAAGCCCCCCGTTAGAGCGTGAAAATTGTTGCATGATTTTCTACGTTTAGCTATGGATGTGCCTGCTGAATGTCACAGGGCAGTCATTGGGTAAACTCGGTTGAACGGGAGGCCTTTACTTGATTGAATATCCAGTTAGATTTGTTGCATTTTAGATCGTGTGGAACTACGTACGGCATGGGTAATGTTCTGCACGATTAGAAGAGGCACGTTTGCCAATGTGTGCTAACAATCGCCCAAAAATAAATGCAAAGCAAACAAAACTCCGTCAATATACCACGGAATTTAAACAAAATCTAGACCATTGATAAAAGAGACAGAGGAACCTACTGTACTGATGTCAAATGATGCCAAAAGCTTCTTGATGGGAACAGCAGAACTCAGTCTTTCAAGATTTGAAGACGATCCTTTTCCACATCGTGAAAAATATGATCTTGATGTGCTTCTTTCTGTGGGGCTTGATCGTGGCCGGGCTAGAGAGACTTCCCATAAAGAAAAGGTCAGAAACAGCTCAAACAAATGGCAAATCCTAAAACTGGCGAGCATCTTCGGAGTTGCAATCTTATCTGGCAACAGTCCTCGTTTCGTATTTCCGTATTAAAGCACTCGGCACACGGCTGAGAATTCAATACTCCGGTAGTGGAATGCAAAGCAACACTGGGATGCAGTCTCGACTCTGTCTTCCTTGGCTCACGTCATGCTCATCCGAGAGCGATCCTTTTTAGATTCCTTACCGCACTGGGCAGCTTTTCTCTTCTCCGGAAAGCAACTGGATATCTTTAAAACCCGTCATGAGTACACAGAGAGTAATTAGGGTCATTCGTTTCAAGACGTATCTCATAAAAGCAAGTTTGATTTTAAGCCCCCAACCGCGCAGCCGCAGATTCATTAGATTTACAAAAAAATCATCGTCCTGAATTCCTTCGCAGAGGTAATTTTAGCCAAGCGTCTAAGTGGGATCCAGAGACAACACCAAAGCAACTTTTTCTTCATTTTTGTCACAGACACAAAGAAAATTAAAAATACTTCTGAATAAACGATACCTTACTATATCCCCACAAAATGTCACCGTTGACATTTCAATGAAACTTTCGGCTTAAACGTGGGTTGATAACCTGATATTGCCCGAAAAAGACCAAAGTCCCAAAACCTTTGCATCACGTAAAAGACAACCTAACCACGAAGTCTGAAATTCATATTGTTCTGGACTACAATTTCAGATGCCTTAAGAGCCGGGGAACACGAGGGGAATATAACAGAAATTTGAAAAAACCTGCTGAATGTATACAAGACTGAACAACAAAATAGCTAGATATGGGAAATATAAATCTAAGAGGTTAAAATATTTGAATGGATAGATTATAGACTATGGGGAAAGGGGGCCTTGAAACAAGGTTTCCCGTTGAGCAGGGGCCTACCATTTGCCTACTAGAGGCAAGATATAGAGGTAATAACAACGATATTACTTCATTTTATGTTTTATAAACAGAGCAGAATTGAGATAAGCAAGATCTCCTTATGTCCTTAAATTTCTGAGGCACACACAAAACAATGCTAATCCGAGGCACACACCAAACTTAGTATAAAATCATCATACTAGTCAATAGTTGTTATTTATCTGATTAACATGTAATTTCACAGACCTAGCCGAGCTTTCGATATGTCCAACGATAAATTCTTTGTAATTTGCAAACAATCATTTCGTGGTACAGAATTTAAAAATGGCTTTGAAAAATCAAATATTTTGAAACATATTGCGAAAGCTTTGCGTCTGACAATCTTCAGAGTTAGAACGTCAGAACATAGATCGACAAATCCACGCAGGAAATATATATACACAGTTTATATACTGGAAATATAAATGATGGGTATATATTTGTTCACTAGCTTAGATTTGTCGATCTAGGTTCTGACCTTTTATACTCCGAAGAGTGTCAGGTGAATAGCTTTAGTAATATGTTTCAAAATTTTTGCTTTTTTAAAGCCATTATTTGTTTTTTCAGAAGTACGTGTTTTATTTTCATTTCTATCTCATAATTGCTTTAATATTTCTTTTGATAGTGGTATGAACTTTAGATAAAGTTTTTTTCTGTAAACGCTGAATAATTTTGAGCATTAGAAAGTACCATCCTGATGAGTTGAGACAGATGAGATTTCGACTCTGGTAGAGATTTTGCATGGTTTGATAAAGATTTGATAGAAATAAAAAAAAATAGATGCCCAAGATATCAAATATTGGGGAGGAATATTTGTTTAGGTCTGAAGAATCCGAACAATGCAAACAATTTTAGGAAAAATATTTAGAAGTTTTGCAGCTGTCCCTTTCAGTCAGAAAAAATATCGATGTTGGGGAGAGGGGAAAGGGGAGAGGGGTTGAGTAAAATATATGCACCTGGTAGCCCTATGACTTTGATAAGGAAGGATTAAGTGAAAATGAAAAGTACTTTCAAGAAAGGGGTATCACTGGTCTGAAGCCTCACTCTCTGAATCCAGCATTACAAATCATTAAGTTGCCATTTCCAAAAATTGTATTTTGTAAATAAATCGGGGATTAAAACATTCCACAGTGATCTTTGATAGAAGCTCAAAATTAGTGTCTAAAAATGTAACGCTATACATTCAATGGAATCTAATAAAGAACAACCTGACACTGAAATATTTAATAAAGAAGCAAATATTGATTTTCAAAACATCTTACATCGATAAAATGTAACTCTAATCTTACTATTCTTTTACATCGCAGAGAAGAAGCAGGGGTAAAGAACCTTTGTAATATTTTGGAAAACATCTAGTCACCTGACATGATTGTTAATATAATCGCATAGATTTATATGCAATAATTTTGTTATATAATGAAATAATAAGCTTTTAACGACAATGGCCAAAGTGTTTGTTATATAATAATATAATAAGATGTATTTTACAGCCTTTAGGCCAAAAAAATTATTATTGGTTCTAATAGTAAGCCCTAGAAGGATTTTTTTCGATGTCAGAATCTGAAAAAAATATTTATCCATTCTTAGTTTAAAGTTGCCACCATCGCGGAAAATCAAACATAACAATTTTTGTGTTTGTCTTGCTTGCAAAGTTTACAAGTACAATCGAATGATGAAAATCCTGGTAAATTTTTTCTTCAAAATTTGTAAAGATAGAAGAGTTTTATTTCGTTGGGGATCGAGCTCCATATTTGGCTACATCTATGAAAAATGATGTTTATTCCACATATTTTGCATGTGCTTTAAATATGGAGTTTCTTATGTTAAGGGTCATTCATTTATGGAAAATTGTCTTTTATCAGCAAAGGGTGGATTTCAACTATTAATTGTCTGAACATTCCTATCGCAAGATCTTGTTTACTTTCTTTTAGATAGTTGATTGTTTTATCTTTTATAAAAAGTTGTTTAATTTATTGAATAATTTCATACAAAATCGGAGCTTGCGATAAAGTGAAAAATTTTCTATGTCATCTGCAGAGGGTGTTCTACCGAGGATGCAGCTTTGCCTGGAACAAATTCCTTATATTAAGAAACCATTTTTTATTATACACACACCCAGATTTGTATTTGAGGTCATTTAGATTACCCTTTTCTGTTTTTTTCATCTTTTCTTTCTTGTGAGTTGGCAAACGTACACTACTAGCTATACTAACGCTGATCAAAAGCAACTTAATATATAAAAAATAACCGAATTTAACAACGCAACAAAAATAAATGAATAACTGATAAAATACATCAATGTGCAGTGGGTTCCCCGTCATTTTGTATAGCCCATTTGTCCTATATATAGTTTACAAATGCGGCATAAGCAAGAAATCGCAGGCATAGTTTTGATACTTGCTTTGAAGGTTCCAGCTACTAGTGTATTCTAGGAACCCAGTCGGAGCAATTGTCCCCTCCCATCCTTATTTAAATGTCTGATTACTACAAATTAATGACCCTTTCAAATCCTAACCCCCTTCCCCAAGAATTCAACACATTCCTACACGCTTAGTACATTACAAACAACAGCCTACTCGCCCCGCGTAAATTTTCTTCAGAACGCTTGCGTCCCGAAATATTCGGGAAATTTCAAAACCTTGTACCTTATTCTTAAAGAAAATTTATAGTTTTTATTGAATAACAGTGCATGTAAACTATGTAACAAAATGTCACATTAATGGAACCTTAGTATAACGGAAGTATGGAATCATATTTTCATTCCGCTTAAAATCAAGGAAATTTGGTCATATACGATAAAATCCTTCTCTTCATAATGGTAATTTCCTTCCTGCAACATTGCCCTTTATGGAGGAACTTGAGAAAGTCCAACCCTCTAATTATGATTCACGAGACCAAGCCATTCCCACGGTAATTCAAGATTCAAAAAATTTGAACTTGGCAAGAAAGACTGGCTACACTAAAAACAGATTCAATGACGCAGATCTGGTGCCTAGCATACGATGACCTTGATCAAGTCTTTTTTCTTCATGTCAACACAAACTTGTTATTCAGTAATTCAGGCCCATTTTGCGTCCACGTCTTGAAATCACGATTCCAAACGTTGCAAGACATTTGAAACGAGGCTGGTCAAGCACCAGGCACGTGAAAAATTAGCTTATAGCATTACAAAGTTCTTCCAAATAAAAATGAGAAGATATGGGATGATTTTCAAAACCATACAAAGAATGCATCAAAGCTTTAGTCAAATGTACCGAAAACGCCATCCAGCCTTGACAGTTTTATAAAATATTGATTACAAAATAATCAACAGACGCATGTTACTGGTTTTAGGAATTCACCCAGCAATTGTTGCCAGTGGCGGATTTAAAGGGGGGCAACCAGGGGCAGTTGCCCTCCCTCGACGAGTTGAAGAAAGTATGGTGCTCCTTTTTTGGAAATTGTGCGCCCCTTTTGAAAAAGTTTCTGAGACCAATAGTTTAATTTGCTTCAAGGATTACTTCAAAGTTATGTTGTTTATTCCGAAAATGGATCTGAAATTATTGTATAGAGCGTTCTCTCGTCATCAATTTTTGAAAATTTTTCAGCGACCCCACTACCAACTGCCCCTCCTTCAAGTTTGCTCTGGATCCGCCCCTGATTGTTGCAAAGCAGTGAGCTATTCTGCCTTGGTAGGTAAGCCAAATTTAGAGAAGAACATTTAGCATATACGTATTTAAAATGAAATATCACTTTCATACCTTAGATTCTTTCCTGTACGTAACTTAGAGGAACAAAATCCACTTTCGAAAAGTCGGCTTCCATATCTTCATCAAGTTATCTAGCATCTTTACACATGATATCAAATCAATTCTTGTGTCTACGATCAAAAAACATATCATTATAACTGACTAAATAATTTTGCGAATCTTTTTTAAACTCATATCTTATATTCACATTAGCCATTGATTGAAACTTTTCTGCTTACAGAGAATACAAAACCTTTTCCGTCTCAAAACAAGGGACCACTTTATTCACACAAGGGACCACTTCAACGCTGAAATCGATATTTGGATATAGTAGACGTTTCTCTTACAATAGGTCACACTAAAAAACGGCATTGTCTCCTGTTACTTTGCTACTCAAATTTTGCCCTTTGTGAGTGGGGAACAAGAGGGCACAGAGTGCAAGCAAGATTCTTGTAACAGATGGCATTGTTTCTATTCAAAGTGGTGTGCCCTTGCACGACTTCTAATCTTGAAAACTAAAGTTAAATATAAACTCAATCTAGGAAACAATTGTAAGTAACGTCGAAAGAGAAGGACATTTCAAAAGTCTGAACATAAATAAAACAGGGCTCCACTTATTCAGCTTTATACCACCCAGATAAAATATCATCTCAGCGCTTACTTCCCCAGTTCTTCAAGAAACTGGGGTTACCAACACAGGCCCCAAAGTCAATCTTATTGACTTACTAACCGTGAACATTTAGCATAGCATTTCATATCCAGGATGCCACATGATATCTTTATACAGCCTCAAATCCAGGATGCCACATGATATCCGAAACGAGGCTGATCAAGAATGGCACACAACACACACAAGGCTCTTTGAAGAAAAAGGGAAATTGTTGAGATGAACTCTAGATAAAACAGTTAAGACATTAACTATATGATTGACTGGAAAGTAAAATAGCTTAAGATAAAAGCATTAGAAATAAAATGAAGTCGGGGTGGGCCTAACACTTATCCGATTGTGGTCTCAGATCACAAGGCTATAATACAGCCTTTGATGTAAAAACCAGGAATAGCTAAAGTTGATGAGCAACAAATTTCCTTAAATGTTAACAAGGTGAAGCATGGGCTTCGCTCCATCCAGGTAAAAGTAAAAAGATAGAGAGGAAAGAAGATTCTCTTATCAAAAAACGTTTTCTTTAGTGTAACACTAAGTAAAGGGAGCTCACAAAAATATAGGACTCATCAAATCAAGCATTATTTAGCTTAATGGGAAACGTAACAACTCAAACCAATGCATCGAGTTGATCAGGAATTTGGAAAAAAGTTGATAAGTCTATCGGTGATTTTCGGTTTATACTAACGATTTGCAAGGGTTTTCCATGTGATGTCAAAGAGGACCACTGTAAATCATAATTTTTGGACAGTGATCAAAAGGAAAACGCTGATGCGATCCACCGATCATGAATGAGTTATGTGACTGACAGAAAGCTCTATTTTGATACTTATAAGCATGATGAACAATGATTGGACAGTGATCAAAAGGAAAACGCTGATGCGATCAACCGATCATGAAGTTGCGATAACAATTGGCATCGATGGCCGTTGTCATATATAATAGCAGCAGGTTGTGTAGCTATTCTTTAACACAATAGGAATATTGGCTTGCTAGTAAGGAAACGTTTCGGTGGCATGTTGAGCGACACCAAAAAACATATTTTTAATTTCTCGGATTATTCTCTCTCTGATACTGAAACATTTGTCTTAGGTAATGGACTCGAATTTTGTATCCCACCCCTAACAATCAACAGAGAGGAACTCTTTGCTGAATTCGAAATTTTACACGCTCAACTTGCTAAGCACGAGATTTCTAACCCTTTGGAGTTTAACAAATTACGAGCACGACTAAGCGATTTGGCGTACGCTTACAGCGGCTCTCCCATCGACCACTCAGATTTTCTTTTGCATAGAGAACATTTTCAAGCACTAAAATCTCTACGGGCTAACAATGACATCTTTATTACAAAACCTGATAAAGGGTCTGGAGTGGTAATTTTAAACAAAAAGGACTACATCAATAAAATGGAGGTAATTCTCCACGACAAAGAAAAATTTGCTAAATTGGGTGATGTCGAAACACATGACAAAACGGCCAAACTAGAGCGGAAACTCCAAAAACGTTTGTTGGAACTGGTCAACTCAAAAATGTTGGCTACAGAAATTTATGATAGGATAAGACCCACGGGCTCTCAACGACCACAAATGTATGGCCTCCCTAAAATACACAAGCCGAACGTCCCACTTAGACCTATCTTGTCTATGATTGGCTCAGCACAACACGAACTGGCTAAGTGGCTTTCTGAAGTTTTGGACCCTGTTCTTCAAAAATATTCAAAACATTGCATCAAGGATTCTTTTACGTTCGCTGAGTTCATGCAAAACTTGAACATCGAAAACGAAACATCTTTCATGTGTTCTTTTGACATTAGTAGTCTTTTCACAAATGTTCCTTTGAGTGAGACCATCAAAATATGTGCCGACGCTTTGTACCGAAGCGAGCTTAATAGCCCACCATTCCCAGAGGAAGTATTCATTGAACTGATGGAAACTGCAACACGTTCAGTTGAATTCAGTTTTAACAATGAAATGTACCAACAAAAGGATGGTGTCGCTATGGGTAGCCCTCTGGGACCTGCCTTGGCCAATATCTTTGTTGGCTTTCATGAAGAGCGTTTGTTCGACTACGACCAAAAGCCAGGTGTCTATTTTCGGTATGTGGATGACACATATACCATTTTCAAAACAGAGGCTGAGTGTGATATTTTTCTAAAACACCTAAATAGCCTACACCCAGCCCTCCAGTTTACGTTTGAAAAGGAAGAAAATGATTCCTTACCATTTTTAGATGTTTTGGTCGAAAAGTCTAACACTGGATTTCTTACCAGTGTATATCGCAAGCCTACTTTTACCGGTCAGTACATACGCTGGAATTCATTTTGCCCAAAACAACGCAAAGTCAACCTTGTCAAAACATTAGTACATAGGGCACTTATGATCTGCTCGAAATCTAAACTGCACGCTGAACTGGAAAAACTCAAAACGATCTTCTTGGACAACGGCTATCCTGAAGACGTCATTTTATCTTATACTAAGGAGAAGATCGCAAGTTTTTCGGCTGTTCAAAAGTTTGGTCCGCAAAAGTGCCCAGTTTATTTGAAACTACCATGGATTGGTAACACTTCCTTGCGATTCGAGAGTCAAATTAGGCAAGCCATAACCAATTGTTTCTTTGCTGTCAATCCTCGGATTGTTTACAGCACTAGGAGAGCCCTTCCATCCATTCAAAAGGATTGCGTCCCTACCAAACAAAAAAGTTCCGTCATTTATGAAATTACGTGCCAGTGTGATTCTGGCTACGTAGGGCGCACAACCCAAAGATTGGGGGATAGGATAAAACAGCATGTTCCTTCCAACATACGAAACAAAACTGCCCCTCAAAGAGAACAGCCTCCTCGATCTTGTAGGTCTAGAAACACTGTTAAAACAAGTGATTCTGCCATTGGTCAACATCTTTTAGACAACCCAGATTGTGCAAAACTCTATAATGACGACATGTTTCGGATAATTGGCAGAGCCCGGTCGTCCTTCCATCTAGCAGTTTTGGAGTCAATCTACATAAAAACGAAAAAGCCGCCATTGTGTAGACAAAAGGAGTTCGTTTTCTCTCTTGGACTCCATTGGTAATTTTTCTTTAGGCTCGCGGCACTGATTGGTCAACTATACCGGTCTTGTGCTTGCGTTTTTCTGATTGGCCTTATTTCGATCCACAACTGGGTATATATTTTTCAAACGTGTTTTTTCGGAACCTATTCTGACGTTTTATGCTCTGAGGAGTGTCAGACGAAAAAGCTTTAAGTATGTTGTAAAATGTTTGCTTTTTTCAAAGCCATTTTCAAATTCTGTACCGCAAAAAAATTGTTCATATTCTTAAATTGCAAAATAGGCATTGTAAAGGACGATATCAATGATTGATGATAATGATTTATCAAAGACGATTAGAGATGATTGTTTTGGTAGAGCTGACTATCATCAAAAACTTTATTTGATGATCACATAATCATGTCCATCAGATAGTAACCATGTTGAATAGCAAAAGGTTTGAACTGATTGGATACAACGATATATCCAATACATATCTACGGGCCATTTCATTTTTTAGGCATGGTAGCCCCTCAGTTAGCGAAAAACTGATTTAAAGGGGGCCATGCATTGATGGTTTACTAATGCCGGCGGAAACAAAGAGATTCATTGTAAATATTTTTTCTCAAAACAGAAACACAGAGTGAAAATACACTGCTAAACAAAATATTGAATGTTCTGGCAATAACTATGGACATCGCATGAAAGAAATTAAATGTTTGTGTTCTCGTATTGAGAGCATCAAAATATGTTGTAAACAAACCTTTTGCCAAGCGAAATATTTCATGCATCTACAGAACTGAAATACCAAAGTTTCTTTAAAGATGTGACCTAAACTGGAAGCTTCGTAAATCTAAATGTAGCTATTCTATGGAGTGTAGGGAATAACATAAATTTTACTATCTACATGAAGATTCTTGCTGCAATAGATACAAAACGGCTACCAAATATTTCATTGTTCAAAATGCAAATTTATTAGGAAATAAAGACCACTTATACATTTTCTTTTTTGCGTAGTACTTTATTCTAAAATCACGCTTACAATATGATCTCTTTCTGTGAGAAGAACCAGTCTTTTTCACGTTGAACTTGAAGTGAAGTAATTATATATTTAAATATATAAAGAAACAATTTCAACAGGCAATATTCTTAAAAAAAATAAGTTATTGATTAAAAATTATATTTTAAGGACAGACGTGAATGTATTCCAAGACAAAGGTATAGATTTTGTCTTAAAAGGACGTCTTTAAGATCTCAGATGATGTTAGATCTAGAATCTAAGATTAAATATAAGACGACTTAGATTAAAATGCCGGTAAAGTTTTTTTGCTTATTGACATACAGATATGATGGAACTCTAAAGAATTATTTTAGTTAACCCGGTGAATCCATACCACGTAGAGATTACATACAGAACAATCTGGTATCTTTATATGCCTTTTAAAAAGTCTGTCCCAAAAAGGTTTAGATGCATTGAATAATGCTACGGAAATTTGTGTTAGAATAGAACTCACGTTGGGCGCCACAACTTAAGAATGATTTAGATAAAGAAGGCCAAATGCCTAGAAATGCCTGTGTTCTAAGGATAAATATCCTGCTATGGGAAAACTACCTCAAACGACCTCTCTAACGGTAATAGTAGGAAGTGAAGAAACATTTGGAGACACAGTTGAGACTCAAATTTCATTCAACGTGTAATCATATAAATCATTTTCACAATTGCAGCTTGGGGGTCATAATTATTCAAATCAGTTACGTTTGAAAGAAAATAAGTGTTGACCTTTCCAAAAATGTTTTTACCACCAGTTTATTGTTGCTGGAGAAAATTGTCGTACTTTGTACGAGTCAGAAAAGATTGTACGTGATAGCCCCAGTCGGAGCCCCCAAAGTTACAATGTACGGGGGATCAGTAAGGCAATACTTTAGAAGTAACGGCCATTTTCCAAAAACCCCTCTAATATCATTGTCTGTCTGCCAAACAGTCAGAAGTAATCGAAATCCAGTTAGAACGAAAAATCATAAACCCAGAAGTATAGCACATGACAAGATTCTAACGTAAAAATACAAGACTGACCCAAATGTACCAGATTGTTGTATATACAGTGACCCCGCCCCCTTATGAAATTGCTAGTTAAATACTAGTTAAAATGAAACATTCTTAATGCTGGGGTTACTGCTTATAGAAATGTTATTTCCTAAAATGAGAAGATCTATGTCTAACCAGTGTTTAAAATATTGAAAATTTACTTATTGATTTTGGTAACGAAATATTAATGAAGATGAAAATAAAATATGATAAATTGTAAACTATGATCAATTGTGCAGTGCGTGGCAATGGTTCGTCTACAACATTGTTGATAAAAAACTCTCAAAGAGCCAAAACATCAGGCTTTTTCCTGAAATATTCATTCAAACGAAGAGCTGCATACCTATAAAATAAAACAACAGAATTTGAAGGCATTAGAGTCTATGTCACATGACGTTAGGGCTGTACGCAATCCAACTAGGTGAGTGGAAACGGACAACCCCATGTATTTACAGTGGAAACCCGATTTAACCAATCAATAATACCAGCCTTGAAAAAGCAAACATTCTAGAACATCCCTTAAACTTCTGACATTCTTCAGAGTATAAAACATCAGAGCATAGATCGAAAACTCTACGCTAGGAAATATATATATATACCCAGTTGTGGATCGAAATATGCCAATCAGAAACGCAAGCATGTGGCTGTTGAGGTTGCCCAGTCGAGCTGCTTGCCTAGTGATAATATTACTAATTTAGAATCAATAATAATATGAAATATGCGGCATAAAGAACCAAAAGGTGCAATTCGTTCAATTTTCTCAAGCACTACTTCTCCTAATTGGAATTTCATCCCTTTATTCAATTCTGCATCTTCTTCTGATTTTATCTTTCGATTTTAACCTTTTAAATTCCTCTTTGGGTTCCATTTTTTGATTTGATCCTTTCATTACATCTTCTGATTTCAACTTTTGACTTAATTTTTCCTTTCCTCTTACGATTTGATCTTCTGATTTTATATATTTGGATTGGGTCTTGCGACTTGATCTGTCGTTTTAAACTTCTGATTTCATCTTTCGATTTCATCCCTTTGATTTTACTTCTCAATTTTACCATTTCATTTCATTTTTTTGATTTCATCTTTTTATCGTTTGCTATAAAACACTTTTGACTGCTGTTCTTTTCATTTAAACATTTCAATCAAGCAGAGTATGCAAACTCTTCTAGTAATGAAAGAACATAAACATACAAGACACAACTGGGAGACTGATTCTCACGTTGATTGAAGCAACTGTGAACTAGTTTCATTTTATGGCATCATTAACATATACCTTTATCTTATCCTTTCAGATATTTTTATGCTGATTAGCGTTCTTTCATGCTATTAGGTAGGACTGGTGCATCGGCTCTGAGTGGGGGTACATCGACTCTGAGGCAGTTCTCGTTCAGTTCCAACCCATTATCACTCAAATTTTGGGGTTATTGTGTAACATCCCTTAGTAACCCCTTCCTTTAGCAATTATTTGTGAAGCACCATTGGCCCAACTCGCTCTTCGTGATGTGGGAACGTAGCCTCATGACTGAGCTTGCAATGTCTACAGCATGTTTTTTTCTAAGGAAGCTTTTTGCCCTTCACATTGTATAGATATTTTATTTTCAAGATACAAATTTAATTGCATATACAGGGACATTTTTTGAAATGGATTAACAAGGGCGTAGTAAAGATTACTAAGGGAATAACAATGTTCAATACATTTTTTAGTCCACAGCTAGAGCATTTGCAAAAGAAACTAAATCCAAATACGGAACATTATCATCCATGGTTGCAACCATTATAGACTTTATTCCCTACTGTGTCTTTACAGAAAAAACCTTTGAGGACAATTGGGAAAAAATGAATTGCTACAAAAATATACCTTAGTAGACAAAGTCTTACAATCTCAATGAATTTTATGGCTACCATACAAAAGGTCCTAAAATGTACCTAAAATGATCCTTTGGTGAGACAATGAATGAAACGTAAGAAAAAAAGTGTCAAATTTGGTGAAGAGAAGAAGCCTTTCAACGTTCATTGCTTGATTGTCAATGTTCACTTGAATTTTCATTCTTAAAACACTTTGATGACGGATTAAGCACTAAGTCGTTCTCCTGATATAAAGATAAACTTGGATGCTATTGTACGCAGATGAAACAAAATCGAATTAAATTTGAAAAGCTAAGCTTCAGCCCATGGTGGATTGGATAAGATCTGCGATCGATAAGAAAGGCTCGTTCACTCTTTTACAACAATCAAAGGAGGAAATGAGCTTAAAAAACCCTGTCTAAAACTGCTTTTTCGGTAGACATTTAAAGCAAGGGGTAGACATCGCCATAAAAGCGCAATCGATGGAGAGAGTTTATCGACAGAAATATATCTGACCAGTAACAAGTTATAGGGTGTTAAATCAATGTTAAGCCAAAGGTGATTGTCATTATATCTGACTGGGTGAGGTGATAGCCACTTAATGTCAAAGTAGATCTATATCACCAGCAATTAGCCTTGAATGTGTCTATTTTATCTCTTAGAGAAAGTGGAATATCTCCACAAAAATTTTAGCATGTGTCTCGAAATCGAGGGGAAAATAGCTCAAAACAGACGTATGAATTGGCACAGAGAAACGAACGTTTTTGGGGCAAAGAGCAGAAAATGAACCTATCAAATAGACAGGAATAGAAAATAATAGATGCACCGAGGAATAAATTCACCTGAAGAGACTATTACTTAATAAGTTGGGTTTCCTTATGAAATACATTGACCTCGTGAAAGTTATGTGAAAGAGTTAAATCATGACTGAAAAAATGACTTTTACAAAGAACAGAAAGGACACCACCAAAGGGGATGAAATAAAAGTGTTGGAATGAAATTCAAAATGGACACTTCAGGCCCTTGAAGGTATAGGGACTGTGTACAAAAAGAACATTTATGAATCTGATTATGAATAGCAACACACGAATTTTTTTAGAAAACATACCCAAGGAAATCAAAATCGATCTCGGAATAAAATGCTTGAACAATTGACCATATTCCCCAAAAAAGATGTGACGCCTTGAATAACAAGAATGATAATTTATTAACATTTCTGTATGCTTCGAAAACTAAATTGAGAAAATTAACATAAGATGGTTGTGAAACATTGATTAAAAGATAATTTGAAATCAAAGAGCTGTCTTTAAGTATAACTCTCAATATGGGAAATCATTGTGGCAAATTTTGTAAAATCTCTTTAGAAACATAAAAAATATGACTATAGTATCGGAAGAAACAAAACATTTGAAAACAAGGCATGTCGAATGTCCACCTTTTTGCACGAACACTTTTATTGACGCAAAAAAGAGAAAAAATTTGTTTCTTTTTTAATCCTTGCAAGCTATGTTTGAATCTGATTAATAAAAGATTTTTAATAGAACTCGTTTGTAAGATTTATTATAGACCTATCAATACTAAAGAGTTTTGTAGAGACTCCTTAACAGAAAAACGTAATTTCAGTCTCATAAGATAATGAAGCTTAGAAGTCTTTTAGCTAGGCCATTTCACAAAATTATCAACTACGATTTTGCTCCCATTTTAGAAGAATTTTCAAAAAGCAATTCTTAAGGTACCTAAAGCTATATTATGCCTTTCAAAGCGCTCAAAAACTAGGAGACAAAGTAGCCAATTTGTATTGTCAAAATAAAACGACAATGTAATGATGCTCTATAAAATAAAAACAAATTAGATAATAGCCTAATGTAATTAGAAGCACTATGCTCCTGACAAATAATACCTGGCCATCTTTAAATCAAGTTGTTGTGTCTGCTTTGTTCTAGACACGTGACAGGGACACTTATAGGTTGACTATCGTCTTGATATTAGCCTTTGCCCGAGTCCACAAATGTTGCTACATGTGACATTAATGCGACAACATATATGGACTGGGGCACAGTCTACTTGATACCGGAATTGCCGATTTGGTTCATGTGAAGTATGACTGAAGAACAATGAAAAGAAATAAAATGATACAGAATTTGAAGAAGAAATGTGGCCTAAATAACTAAAATATATTGCAAAAACACAGTTATTAAAAAGCTTACCAGGGAAAATTTGCAAACTTCGACGTAAAATTTTTCGATTTTTTCATCTGTTATATCGACATCGCCGGTCCCTGAAAATATTGCAAAAACCAAATGAGTCGAAACAAAAATTGGTTAGACAAAAAAGAGCTGTACTCATTTATGTTTATTCCATATTTCGTTGAACAAAAGCAAACTCATTCAAAATGGCACATCTTATCAACACTTTTGGACACATGTAATGAGCTACTGTCCGTTAAACGTAATTGTTCGTTGAAAGAAGGCACTATGTAGAGACTTCCATTGTTGGAGGTGACCCATATTTGGCGTCTGTTATTAGTAGGTGTCCAAAATTTGTTGGTTTCCATTATTAGGAGGTGTACGTTATAAGGAGGTATCCGTTTTTGGAAAGTTTCCCTTATTTGGAAATGTTCGATTAAGGAGATGTCCGTTATTGGGAGATACCCCTTATTGTAAGGTGTCTGCTATTCACCGGTTTCCCTTAATGGGAGACCTCCGTTATCGAGAGACGTCCGTTGTAAGCCGGTTTCCCTTACTTGGAGATTTCCGTTTTCAGGAGAAGTTCGTTAAGGGCCGGTTCTCCTAATAGGGAGTCGTCCGTTTTTGACAGGTGTCCATAACAGAGTGGTGTTCATTACTGCGAAGAGTCTGTTCACAAAATTCTCGAAAACTGGTAAATCGTTAAACTTCATAAGAAATTAAATCAACTGAAAACAACTCGAAAAAAATACAATTCTCAATGTGGATTGCATATCAAGAGACTCTTCTGTGTCTATATAATATATATGTGAACCTCTGAGAAGCTCTTTTCCGGTGGCATTCTTGACTTGTATGGTGGTCATTTCAAAGGCTGCAACCTACATACCAAGACTTACAGATAATGCTCTTTTAAGTGAACAAACGATTTTTTGTTTGAGCCCAGATCCAATGTACAAAGAATTGATACTTTTTACAACCTACGTGTTTAAAAATACCAGAAATAATTAAAATAGTAGTTGAGTTTTTTGTGCAAATCGAAATCCAAAGACAAAGAGCGGATACTTTTGGCAAACATTTTAGGAAATGGTGATATTAAAAAACGTCAATATTAAAAAACAGAATATATTCTGCTGAAGTCCGTTCTATTTTGCCTCTAATTACATCTGAAGTCTTTCTTTAATATTTCAAATTTGGTATTCCAAATAAAAGATTATCTAGATTACATAAAAAGTTGGCAAGCAATCATAAGGTATTCTGTGGGTAGACTATATTTCTTCTTAAGACAGAGGCCTTGATAAAATTTCTAGCATGAGAAAAAATAAAGCTAAACATTCAAGTCTCAATATTCAATTGATGTGCGAGGGACCAAAGTGTTCCTGCTGGAGAAATAACATCGTTAATTATTCAAGAAAAGATGGTATTCATTGCAGCCATGGAAGAGAGAAAAGAGAAAACACGCGATCTGTGCAGCATGACATCTCATTATAGGCCAAAATAACTCACTCTTACGCATGCTTTAACTTGAGACCGAGAATTTTCGACGTGACTTTTTAAAAAAGATGCCCAAAAACATTGGAACTTGATTTTGTGTATACTATAAAGAATAGAAGTTCTCTTTAAATTATGCAGTAGGTTCGGAAAATACTTCCTTCGTAAACGGACACGGAATATTCAGGCCATTTTGCAGAAAAAGCAACTGGGACAAAAAATCAATCGGGGGATGTTGCCACAGGGGGATGTTGCTTACTACGCCTCAAAAATATCCAAGCAGTTTTGAAAGCATCTCGATAAATATGAATTCAAAAGAATAAAAGAACTTATAATGTTGTCTGGAAGAACGTTTAATTTAGCGCTAACACTAGAGGTGAATACTGAGAGCATGTTATAGCATGTGTAACAACTAATAATGCTATAAGATTTTGTGTGGAATATCTGAACAATTTTTTGCGGTACAGAATTTGAAAATGGTTTTGAAAAAAGCAAACAATTTACAACATACTAAAAGCTTTTTCGTCTGACACTCCTCAGAGCATAAAACGTCAGAATCAGGGTCCGAAAGAACACGATGAAAAATATATACCCAGTTGTGGATCGAAATAGGCCAATCAGAAAAACGCAAGCACAAGACCGGTATAGTTGACCAATGTGCAATACCCAGTTGTGGATCGAAAAAGGCCAATCAGAAAAACGCAAGCACAAGACCGGTATAGTTGACCAATGTGGAATATCTGTTGGTTGAAGCAGCAAGAATTTTAATCATACAAAAAATATCTACAGATAATAATAGGAAAAGAACTTTACGAGACCATACATTCTTGTAGAATGCAATCTATTTGTAGTGGTAACATAAATATGTCCCCAGTTCATGCAGCATTTCCTTTCTCTAAAATGCTGTCATGGAAACCCATGTTATAAAAACTGACTCAATTAGTTGTCAGTATAAAAAAGGATAGTTCAAACAACCTACATTTCAGCTTTCCAAATTCTTCCAAGTAAATTCTGATCAGATTAAGCTGCTTCTCCTTGCTTGGAAGCCTCTCAAAGTTGACATCTGTGACCCCTTTTAAAACAAAAGCTTTTACTGGATAGGAAAAACACGAAATAACAAGCAAGGTAGCTGATTATTCAAAGAGAATTTAGATCAGGAATATATTGTCATCTAATTTCGCTACCCCTTTTCTGTAAGCAATTTTGTGATATGTCAAGAAAGTTTCTTGTTAATTAAACATGCTTTTATAAGAAACCGTATCTACAAAGATTTACTTTTGGGTATCAAAACGCCTGCTAAAGTTTTTTGGAATATATACGACTGCCTACATTTCTAATTTTCATATGTTCCTCAAATACTCCCACTTATGTCTTCTCTCCCCTAAGCATTGTCAAAAGTTTTGACAAATATCATAAAAACGCTATATGCCATGTTCAGAGACGACAGAACTATGGGGTACCAGGAGTACTGCCTCTCAAAAATGGGAAGAAATTCGCTCTTTTGTCGAGAAGTAATGAGGAAGAAATTCTCTTTTTAGAAATTCTCTTTTGGAAAAGTATCAATTTTTGTGGGACATGGTGTCCCTTCCTACTTGCGCCACTTTGAAGCTTTGATATTTGACCTTCAAAATTCTTCCGACATCCCTTGTCATATTAAAGAAAACTGGTACTGTCTAGACAGGGACGGGATAGTTTTTCAGGGAATTAAGTTGACATTAGCGTTTTAAGACTTGTGACAAAAATTGTGACTGTGCAGGAAAAATCCCAGATGATGATGGTTGTGTATAATTGTAAAGACAAGCTTTGGACAGAACTAAATGGGCAATTTGTCTTGAAAAAGAATATGTTATGCAAAAAAAACTCAGCATCAGAAGTGATAGGATCCTAAAAGCCTTGAAAAAAATCGAGATCTTAAATGAAAAAAAATTTAAAAACAATTCAATGTGTAAAATACATTTTCTCGCATAAAGTCATTTTACCTGCATACTCATTGAAGTGATTAGCAAGATCATAAGCTGCATGGTTGATAGATGCATATTCGTAATCAATGATCCAAAGTTTCTCTAAATCAGAAGAAAGAAACAAATAATTCTTGGTGGTATTAAATTGAAAAATTGCTTTGAAAAAAGCAAGTATCATAATGAATACTAGAGCTTTTCATCTCACAATCTTTATAGAACCAAAAGTCAGAATGCTGATCGAAAAGCTGTTCCTTCTCCTTTATGGTAACAATTTTCCAAACAAATAACTACTAGTGTAATCTGGGTTTAGTAATTTAACAAGGGGTGGATCCAGAAAAAATTTGGGGGGTGCTCTGCTTTCGGTGGGGCTGGTGCCACGCCTTTCAAAATTAATGGTGACTAGAATTTCTTTCGGACGTTCAAAGAGTAAGGGTTGTCAATACCTGATTTTTAAATAATTGATTTGCAATTAAATTGTTTTTTCAACTTCTGGCAATGTGCTATTTGAAATGAAACCAATACATAAAATACAACAAAAATAATAATAAGAGACAATTATAATTTATTTTCTCTTATTTGAAATAAAAACAATGTATATTTGATTTCTTCATCATTCTGACTACTTTATCAATTTTTTTAAAACACAGCTACTTCAGATGTAGATGAAATAAATATCATTAATGTTTTTGTCAGTTTATGCACTAATATCTGGTTAATGATTTTGGCAAAATGACAATATTCTAGGCAACCAGTGGGTCTGTAAGATTGCCAAAGTATCAATTTATTATCAATCAGAATGTAAACTGACACAGATTTTTCTTGGAGGCACCAAAACAAGAGCTCAACTAAAATCTTTCTTGTTCAACAAGAATCAACTGAAAACTAGCAGACTTTTTCTTTACATATTACTTTACAACACATTCTAGAAGTTGATTTAATCAAAGCTAAAAATACCAATCAATTTGTTGGAAAATGGATATGTTTCCTTGCAAAATCTGAATTCAAACATTAAAGGGGGTATTTATAAACTAAAAAGAAATTTCTATACCTTTGATTTCATCATAAATAAAATTGGCACAAAGTGCATCATTATGGCAAAGCACAAGAGGAGATTGTGCAGATGATAAAACTTGAGAGATTTCTGAAACCTCTTGCTGGAGAATCTCATGAGATGGAATTGTTGTTTCGTACCTAAAAACACAAAGCGTACATATTTAAAGTTGCCAAATTTATTCTTATTCATGATAACCGAACATTTACAAGCAAATTTCAGCAAAACCATTGTTACAGTTTTGTTAAAGATCACCCATATCACAACATTTATTTTGTTGTCCAGAAACTGCAACCTTTCATTAAAGTAACATTTTGTAAACAAACTAGGAAGTTATAGGTTTTTACAATGAGGAAAAAACTGAATTTGGCTTAAATTTCTGTGAGCAAAAAATTGAAGCAATTTCCACTGTACTTTCCACTTATACCAGGAATTTGATTTTACTCTGATGTCTTACTACCAAGAGACTGTAGATTTATGAGCATGGGAGATTCTTTACTGCCTCAAAATCTTGGTAGTAATAAATTCTATGGCCTCAGCTAAAGCAAAATTCTGCATCATTGAAAAAAGACAGTAGGATAATCTACCTGTTTCTAGTTTTGCCAAGTTCTATATAACTGACCTAATTTACTGACCTTCAACTGCTCTCTCAGTTCACAAAATAAAAGCAGATTCTTAATATGCTAGTAGTTTCATAAGCACATTATAAACCCTCATTAAAAAAGAGCCACAAGGATACTTTTCTATAAAGACTGAATTATTTCTAAAGTCGCCAATTTTTAGACTAATGCAACATTACAAACTATGCATCAGTACAAACATAAACCAATTTGATTGTGGTACATTGCAGAGAAATTCTTTTTAGAGCTCACACAAGACCTACAAGCTTGAAAGATCTTGAATGATAGATATAGTTGCATCATTCACATAAATGATCTGTCACATTCATATTTATAAGTCTGTAATATAGTCTGCTTTGAGGTCTGGCAATATTCTAGGCTGTCAATTTGCTCAAGAATTATTGGTGTTATTGAGAAAGTGTATTGTTTAGCTTATAATGGGAAAGGTTTTGACAAGAAATATTGCATACAAATATTCCCATTGCATGAAGTTGTGAGACACACATCACAGCATTGAATTATCTATTAATTTTGAAAACAAAACCAACTACTTCCAATTGATTATGAACTCTGTATGTGCTCACAACTATACTATTTTTAGATTTCAATGTCACGATTATAGCAAGGATTTACTTCATTTAAAACCAGAAATGCTGCTCACTATGCTTAGAACTGTATACACTTTATAGATTAAAGTGTGCACTCAAAATGAACAAGGAGACTTTAACTAAAAGTTAGTAAAACCAACAAAACAATAGAACAACTAAACACACTATACTGATGTCAAAGATCCCAAAGATTTCAAACTTTGCAGGGGAACTTCAACAAGGATACTTTTTGTCTGGCTTTTGCTTAAACCTTGCAAAGTATCTAAATTGTGTGCTTTCGAGATACCAAAACTCAATGTGTGATATATAACTAGCTCCATTGATTATCATATTGCAGAGTATGACAAGTGCACACCTGAGAAAATTTTTACATAATTTCACTGCCGATCTGGTAAAGGGTGTGACATCTTCAGATCAGGGTGTGACATTGGTGTGGTTTATTGCTTAGGACAAATGAAGAACCAGGTCTCCTCAAGTTCAACATAATATTCAATTGGTTTGATAGATACAAACAACTACATATAAACTATTTCCATTCACTTATCTTTGTTGTGCCATGTGCACACTATATACACCATGTGTGAAGATGGCTCAATTGTTAGAGGAACTGACTACAGACCCAAGGGTCTGTGGTTCGAGTCCTTAGCATGACCAAACTTTCAACCTGAGTGAGGAGAGTCGCCAGCTCTCTGTAATTCCAGGTGTAGGAATCATGAGGTGTGGTCCACACTGAGAGGAAATACCAGGACACCGCTAAGTAAGCGTGAGCTTCTCAGTATCCTAAAAACTACCTGTTTCAGATGCCAGGTAGAAACAAATACAACATATACACAATTGAAATGCACACTTATACCAAGGAGTACACTTGCACACTTGAAATTTTCCTCTTGCATACCGAAGAGCTTATTGGAAACTGTCATACTCTGCAGTCTGGATTTATTAGCTGTCTACCAGTCTATAAGTAGGATTAGGTACATACACACACACATGAAATCAGTGTCGGGCTGTACAACAAAATTTTCAATTTATATTATTTTATTTATATCTAAAATCTAATAAAGCCATAAACACGGTAAAGGACATGACTGCTGTACATATGAGATTTCATTCTCTGCAAACTGCAAACAGATAACCTGCAAAACACTATGATTGCAGACAATTTTGATGGTCATTTATCGCACCAACACTAAAAAAGTAAACTAATGCTCGCATAAAATGATAGAGAATTGCACATCTCGATACCTCTTTTGTTGTTCGGGGTCATCAAATTTGTCTGGAAGCAATCGAATTATTTTTTTTAAACTGTTCACCAAAGAAGGCTCCATTTTATGATGATGAAGATATGCCTGACCAATCCTGACAGCATGAACCATTGCAAGTAGTTTTACGCTCTGCTCCGGCATTTCTTTTCCAATGAAATCTTCTGGGCCTAACACACGCCCATCTATAAAGGCATAACAATAACCATTTTCGAACGTACAATAAAGTGCCGGCGACAGCCCATTTTCTTGCAGCAGCTTGAAATTTCGCAGTTCTCTAGCTCTGTCGATAAAAAGCTCGGTTTTAGCGCCATAGATTCGTACTAAGACGATATCGGATCGTTGTGCACTGATGTTGATGAGACCATCTTTCGTGTGCTCTGGCTGGACAAAATAGCCAACCAATTTGTTACTTATTCCATCATCAAACACTTTGTGCTGCAGTTTTTCTATTTTCCAGCCCTTCTTTACATGACTGATCAGTGTCTTTGCCGATATCTCAAGATTCTTGTCAGTAATATGGATGTCAAAATGTTGGATACCGGGCAACCTCTGGTGATTTGCCGCCATTTCTGAAGCCACGGGAATCTTTGGAAATCCTTTGTTCATAGGTCATAGCGTTGTGAGACCAGCCTCGCACCCATGAATTGGCCCCTGGACCTTGAACTTATTTCATACACTGATTTCATATCAGTCGAAAACATTAATTCATAATTCTGACAAATGCAGAAACTGCAAACTACATTGCAAAAATTTTAATCAAAATTTTGATCAAAATGCTTTTTAGTACCTGTAATTTTGGGGCTTTCTGTCAAGTTTTTGTGCGAAGAAATTGGGAGAAGAGGGAATCATGATCATTTCTTGGCCATTCATAAGATGATTGCATAATTTTTTGAAAATCTGAAAACACATTAAGAGAATCATATTCACATAAGTATTTTATTTTACGCTGCACTCATGCATGCCTTTGTTTAATTTTAAAGGGGAATTGTTTGGAAAAATGAATTAGTTTCTAAAATTTTTATGGATTTTTTATTCGATATCTATAGCTATGCAAATGTTATTAAGGTATAACACAATTTTTTCTTCTTTAAGCAGAACAGGCATTGTACACACCAATGGTGTTTTTTAGTCTTTGTTCTGATAAAATATTCGTATTTTTATTAATACGATGGTCAATAACTGTCTGATCAGCTTTCTGACAAAACTCTTTTCTTCATTAGAAATCAATTAAAAATCTTGATTTGACAACGCAAGGCGCTCGGTAGTAGCGGGGGGGAATGATGGGGCCGAAGTCCCCAACAGTTGTCAAAATTTTCTATTTTTTTATCATTTATAATTGGGTACTGAATTGAAAGCAATACAATAGACAGCCCCCCCCCCCTAAAAAAAATAAATAAATTTCACTCCGATGACACTGTAGCTTTTTAGCCAGTGAGGAATATTCTTACATAAAAGCAAAGAGTGTAAGGAAAAATTTCTTTAAATATTTAACAAATATGACATTGTTGTCTAAATGAAACAATTAACGCATTGACTTTCATAGTGCTGGAACAACATATCTCCGAAAAGATAATGACATGTTGTCACGCTAAAAGTCTCATTCTCTCTGAGAAGAATTCTCCCTTCAATTCCTTAGAGTAGAAGTACATGTGTCCTCTAGACTTCTATGATAAAGTTGTCCACGTCAGGGGCCGTGCAAGGGGAGCCATGGAACCACGGTCTATCCTGTTACTTATTCCAAGGGGAGTATCACTCTTCCCAAACAAACAGCGTACACATTTTTCTAGAACAATGGGATTTTAGAGATCTTTAGCGGATTTTTCTCGAAAACAAAAGATTTTTTCCAAAGGCTTACGAGATTTTCCTGGAGTGACATGCCTCTAGAATAATATATCTGAAACGGGTTCAATTTTTACCTCTATGTTCACATTGCTCCGTATTCGTTTTTGTCCGTTTTCATATCGATCCGTTTTACCTGTTCACACTGATGCTCCGGATACATTTTATAAAGCGTTAACATTGCTCCGCTCTGGATAAAAAGGAAAATGCCACGAACTGGTTTACAAACCTTGCGACCAGGGGCGGACTGGCTAATTTTTTTGGCCCGGGCAAATTTTGATCAAACCGGCCCACAATAATAGCAAATAAAAAACTCCTTGGAAAATACAAGTAAATGTTAGTCTGCAAGGAAAACAAGTTTTTAAATTCAGTAATTGTGTGCATGGTTGAATGCTTGCATAACATAACAAATGAATAAGCATAACAGAATATGCTTAACAGAACATGATAAATATGTCATTTGTTGACTAAACAGTAAATAAGCAAAAAAATTAACTCCTTGGTTTGACTTTGTTTCTAAATATAGTAACTTATATGTTGATAATGTGATCGTTCAGGATGTCATCTAACAGGTGTTTTTCTAAGAACATTAACATGAAGGACTCCAGGTTTGGCTGCGAAAAATTACTACGTAATCTGTTCTTTATATATTTAAAGCGGAAAAGCTTCTATCACACTCCACTTGTGACAAATAATTTTCTAATCCTCCGGAAAACCACAATGATTTTCAGCAGCCCAAAAAAATCGATTTGTCAATTTCTGACCCCAAAAAATGGGCACCCCTGTTGAAATTTTATCGTGTAGCACCATACCCCTGTGGGCGGGGGTGCATTTGACTTGTGATAGTATAGGCCTAAAAGTAAACTTACAAAAACTTGTATGAGTTTATTTAAAGGAGCAAGAGCAAGACCCTGCTGTTTTTTGTGACGTTTGTGGCTTTTGCCTGATAAAAAAAGCTTTGTATCGTAGCTGAATCCTTTTTTAAGTCTCGCAGCTTTTCCTTCACAAAATTTCTGTGCATCACCATTGGTTGAAGTCTTCTTGCTTTCCCTTGTTATACGCAGTGGCGTACCCAGGGCCGGAGAAGTGGGGGGGTTCTGGGGCGCAGCTCCCAGAAATATGTGTTGGACCACGCCCTTCAAACACTCGCAAATGCAGAGAAACGCCCAAAATTTTCCGCCATTATTTGATTTATGTTCGCTACAGTAAATAGGAAAGTATTTTACAATTGTTATTGACACAAGCATACAGTATACTACACCCCCCCCCCACCTCAATGAGTTTTACATCGTTTTCGGACAAATCTCGAGGATCACATTTTAGATCACAAGTGGGGGGTCCGTACCCCCCTATTCCCCCCTTGGGTACACCACTGGTTCTACGTATGTCCTCTTCATTACTTCACATCACAGAGCAAATTGCTTAGTGAACTCTTATTTTTGGACTATTAAATTTATTACATTTAGCAATAGCTTGTGCTTAGGGAAAAACATGACCAGCTTCAAGCAAAAGCTAAATAAAAAGACATCAGGGGAGGTTAAAATCTTATGTATCGCATTGAAACAGGGGTGTTACAGTATAATATGTTGCCAAAAAGGAAATACCTTCAAGAGAAAATATAAAAAATTTTCAATAACATTTTTTCTGAAGAAGTGTGTTTGGGCTGCGTTGACAATAATGAAACTCGCGTGTATATTTATTCTTTCCCACAAAGTCTCTGAAAATTCAAGGCAAACAGATCAACGCGTGGGTATACATTTTTGCCTCGCATTCACTTTTTAAGCTAATTTATTTTTGGCACTTTTATCAACCGGCCCCTAAACAGACCGGCCCTTCGGGCGATCGCCCGAATAGCCCGACCAGCCAGTCCGCCCCTGCTTGCGACTACTAATAAACTTTTCAAACAACTCACTGCCACTAATATTCCTCCAAGTAGTGTACTAACTTCGAGTGAATCAGCCATGTTAAGAAAAATTGTTCAAATTGGCGCGGTCCAAGCACCTTGCTGTGTCGTTGTTGTTGTTGTCGTCGTTTTCAAAAGTATCCGTTTTCGGTGTTCACACTGCGTTTTCGAAAGTCTCCGTTTTCGAAAGTCTCTGTTTTCAAAGTGCGTTTTTAAAAGTATCCGTTTCTGCAGGGGAGCATTGTGCACGCAAGGTGAAACGGATACTTTTTTATCCGTTTTCATTGGAATCCGGAGCAATGTGAACAGGGCCTAAACTACAAAACAAATGCAACAATGTAACACTGTAGTCGCTAAAAGCAGCTTATGGAAAAAGGTAAACAGTTAGATTTAAATTGAGGCTACAACGATTTTGTTTGCATTGTGAAAATAACCAGTTTGTTTAAATCTAGGCCACAAAAATTTTGTTTTAAAAGCACAACCAGAGTTTGATTTCTTGCTTTTCTGTGCGTTGAGCAACCCATAGATGTCTAAATAAAAATGATTTTTGCGTGACTTAAAAAGTGACAAAATGACATTTGTTTTTCGAATTAACAAAAACTAGCTGTCAATACTTCAAAAACATTTGACATGCATCGAGACAGCTTGTGAATATCAAATGGCTTCTTGTTAATTCATGTGTCAAATGATCTGCGCTTTCATTATTTTTTGATTAATAACTTTATGCTCTTTTCTTTGACACGATCTTTGGGATTTGATGAAATGATCAATTATAAGCCATTTCAGATTAAAGCAGTCAAACCTGAATTCAACTCTACTTAATCAGGACTTTCATCTGTTTTAAAAGCTTTGTGCCGACTTAAAATACAAATCCTTGTCACTTTTATACGAGAAAGAAATTCAGTGAAGCTTCCATTTAAGGACCTCTCTTAATTAATAGCAAGTACCCCTGGGGGGGTACTTGGATACCAAAACGACGGGGGTGTGCACTCCTAAGATTGTTTTGGTGAACTGGCTTTAGAAAAAAAAGCTAAAAATAACACCCGGCTTTAGAATTTCTGGAAAAAAAGAACAAAGGAAAACAAAAGCTTTGGTGCCAGTTGCCATTGTTGCCAGAACACCACGAACACCACATAGAGAAAAAACGAAAATCAGGCAACCGGCTTTAGATTATACCCTTGAACAGATACCCGGCCTTAGAATAAATTGCTGAAAATGATACCCGGAAAGACGTGCACATCCCGTCAGCAAAATATACTAAGTAGCCCCCCGGGCAAGTACCCTCGAAGCGCGGGCTTGCAATATTGTTTCTAAAATTTCTTCCAGTGACTGACACAATGTATAAGTTACCTGACCGCTGGGAACTGAAAGCTCTTTATAACCTCCAAGTAACTCCAGCCCTGATGTTTTTCCGCCTTATTGAAGTTTTGGAAAGTGCGAAACTCTTCCCGCGATTCTTTTAGCGTTACTATTGATCACGATTCTTCAGCAGAGATTCATTGAAATATTAAATCAGGTAAAAAAACTTGTTCGTTTAAAGGCTGTTTGATAAGTAGAATCACAACAATAAAATCAAATTAATTTTACCATCCACAAAATCATATGACATTAGAAAGGTCACAAAATTTAATGTTGATAAGCAAAATATTTGTCTTTTCTAACAGCATGATGTCTTTTGGAGCTCCCACGAAAACTACACTTGTTCCCAAGGCTCGATTCTTTCTCCCATCCTGTGCATTCTCTTCATTCCAGCAATCTTTCAACCAAAATAGCAAAACTTCAAACGTGTCCAGATCTTTATCATCTTTATCCCCCTCCCCCCAATTACTAGAGAATATGAGCGAGTAACTCTCGAAAGGACTCTTTCTGCTTTTATTCTTTTGTCAAGAAGCCTCGGAGACAAAGACAATTGAGACCCTTACTGTCTCGCATGTTCTTCTACCGCATAAGCCCTGTCCACACTACACAAACTAACCCAGCTTCGCCCCAGGTTAAATTTAACCTAGGGCGAACTCTGCTTTGTCCACACTTGATTTTCATGTTTTCATGATTTTCATGTGGACACCGGCGGGGCGAAGCCGGGGCGAACATCGCTACGCATGCGTAGTTGAATTACAACAACAATAAAGCAACGACAACAAAACAAATTTTCACAAACACGATCAAGATGGAAGTTGCCGAAGTCGCAGTTTATTCAAATGTTTTCCTCCCTCTTCCTGACAAGTTGTTGTTGTCTTTAACTTTCTTATAAGACTGTTTTAGTTGTTTTTTCACTTATCTGGATGTAGTTTCGCTCGTAACCACTTTCTTTTTCTAGGCGCTGTGCCATCTTTTCGTAAACATGTTTTTTCCTTGTACAGTTATCCAACTGTTCTTGAATCTTTTCGTCTCCCCAGATACTTGTGAAGCTGAGAACTTCTTCGCGGCTCCATGTTGAT